GACGCGATTGTTCACGCAGGATGGTGACCCAAATAGCAGGTTCCGCCTGCAGATCAATATTTGTACTCGGGATGAAGGAGGCAACAGCCATTGCTACAACATACAAAACGGTCTTAGTTCTGTCATGAAATGTTGGGCCGACCATGGCTCGTTACAAGCCTTCTAATTACACACTGGATTTGTTTGTAACACCTGTTAACATATTAAATAACATTACAGACATGGTAAAAGAAAACCAATATGATGAAAGGTTAAACAATGGTTATCATTGTTTTGGTTTGTTGTTTTTCAGGACATGTATTAAACTAGTTTTTTAACATGTTGAATAAAAAGGAAAAAAACCCTGTTGCTTCGACCAACATGTGCGAACCTTTCAAGTGCTTTGGGGAGACTAGTTCTGCCTCTGCTGTTAAGCTGCTGGTCAATATCCCTCGCAATTAAACACACTCTAGCCACTTCTAATTCATGATCTAACTCCAAATATGTTCTACTTTTTTCATCATTTAACAAATATCAAGAGTTCAAGAAAATATTTTCACAGCAGACCTGTGACTGGAAACCTAACATCCATTAATATGATTAAATCCATAGTCCTTTTTTCCAATGTAGAATAATTCATTTTTTTCTTTTCATACAAATGAACTCAAAATTATTTTTTTTCAAGACTTCTATGGATAACAACTTCTTTAATACTGTGAAAAGCGATCTTATAAGGATCTATACCGAAACGTCACTTTTCACAGTAGTAAAAAATTACAAAAGCTACTGGACAAGTGAAAGGTCAACAGTCTTCTAATACACACTACGAATTCTGACAGGCTAAAATAAAGTATGGCTGAGGCCATAGTGACAATGAGTCTAGTTATTTATAGTTCTCGCCCTGGATTTAAAATGTCATTGTAAACATACCTAGCGCCCCCACAACCGGGACCCACGGAAGAAACTGCTGTCAATAAGCCAATTGCTGACAGGCCTGTAGGTGCTGGAACCCTTATCTCAATATACAGCCCACATAGAAGCTTACACAATTGATGCTGTCACCTCAGTCAACATTGTGCATGGTATACTTATCGGCCAATTGATTAAATTCAAAAAGGTGAAATTCATGCACATATGCTAGTACTAAATAGATGTTGCCAGCTGTTATTGACAAAATGCAGAATCTCTATAGGTAGACTTTTTCTGGAGAAATCACCTAACAGTGTCTTAAGTCAGCAATTTCAATTATTTGCTGTCTTATATCATGTATATGACACAATCAATTTAACGATAACTGAAAAAGAGTTACCAGATGGTTGCAGTCATCTTGTGTGGATCACATAAGGGGTTGTGGGACATGTCAAGGTCGAGTCTACATTCATATAACAATACACAATATTTGAAGTCAGATATCAGACTTATATCAGCAGAGCTCCAGATAAGCTTTTGGTGTTGTGGGTATTTTACCCATGCATTTTAAAATCATTGGGTATCAGTAATTCTATCTGCGTATTCAAATTTCTGTTAGTTACCCACTAGTTTTTACACATGTGGGTATTTAAGTTAAATATTTAAAAACACTATTCATCTAGTCCCTGCAAACTGGTGTCGTGTGGGTTCGAGAGCTTTATAGGACTAAAAAATACCACGATACTTCCACAAGAAAGTGTGATGGCAAATGATCATGATGTAACTGTCATCCTGGAGTTTGGCAAGGTTGACGGAATGCCCGTTTATAATTTCAAAATAAGTTGCTGATTCGCTAATCGAATACAGAGGTTACTTCACAATATTTTGATGATACGCACAAGTTTTATTTTTGTAGCGTATCTGTAATGTTCGCTGCGTATTTGATACGCTTGGATTATATTTTACTGCGTATTTCTGCATTTCTGATGCGTATTTCACGCAGATACGTAGCTTATCTGGAGCTCTGTATCAGACTGGGATGATTCAGCAAGTATAGGAACTATTTCATGGAGGGTCACTGGAAGTGATGCTTTGTGTAAAGTTCACAGCTGTCCCAGGTGGATAATCAATAGTTACAAGTCCGCCTTCAATTATGATTGTCATCATATGGCAAAGTTGTAGTCATATTGATCAGTCTGGGAATATATTTAAATAATTCATTGAAAATACCGATGAGAGTGAGGGGAAACCTATCCATTTTATTTTGAAAAGGATAACATTAGGCTAGGCATACTCAACAAATATAATGCAAATATCATTGTCATCACCTAAATTCACAGCTGAGTTTGTAGTTTGAGAAAGTGTGTGTGTGGAGGGGAACAAGGGTCTAGTATTGTTGGTTGGACCCCCTCACATCCAATTTAGTTTTCATACCATCGTCAAGCCACACAAGTTCGATCAACATGTAACTTCATTTTGAACTATATTTCTCGCGATATGTAACGAGAAATTACTATACCTGCAGCTTTGATCTTCTGACGACACTGCTTTCGTTCACTAGGACCAGAAAATGCTTTGTGTCAAGTTACCAAACGTAAGTCATATTCAGCAAACAACTAGTTTTTAACCCGAGATCACAAATTAACTTGATCAGCTCAAATAAATGTCAATTGTAATGAATTCACGCATCGACGGCATGCCTATCGTCTGCTTGTTTACTTTCATGGTGTAAATGTCACGTGATCAGACACATGATGTGCTTACCAAAATTTAGAACTATGGAAACAAGTAAGGGCCATTTCTTATTGAAATCTTTATGCTTTTTGAGAACTTCTGTCTCTGTAGTTTTGATGATACAATGTATATAAAATAAAGCTTTATTTTTACAGGTTTTGACCAATGGTGAACCAACCAGAAGAGGCCAAAATAGGCAATATTTGTCTGCAGCCCTAGACAAGGCATATGATGCTGTTTTGGATGGAATGGCAAATTAAGAAAGCTGCCACTACCTTTGCTGTTCCATTTGCTACACTTCATGACAGGATTAGCGGGAAATTTCTATTGAATGTAGTAATACTGGTAGAGAGCCACCATTGTCCATAGAAGAAGAACAGGGACTTGTTTCACTTATTGATGCCAAGGCAAATTTTGGGTATGGCTGTACTAGGGCTGAGGTTACTACTACTGCCACAGACCTAGCAATCAATCTTGGATAGAAGTCAAAGGATGAACAACCCCTATCACTTCAGTGGTTCTATGGGTTTATGAAGCGATGGCCTGATCTATCAGCGAAGAAGCCACGATCCCTTGAGATACAGAGAGCGAAAGCTACCTCAGAGGAGATCGTCACTCATTATTTTAATGAACTTGGGCACATCCGGATAAGTACAACCTGAAGAAATGCCCTCATTGTATCACACCCCACCACCGGTAGTCACATCGAGTCAGAGTACTCCAGCTGCAGTCACAACATCAAGATCAAGTACTACAACTGTTATAGGTTGCGGCAATGCGTCTGGTAGTTCTATACCACCATATTTTGTATTCAAGGGCAAGGGGATGCGGGAAGAACTCCTTTCAGGAAGTACCCCTGGAGCAGCAGGCACTGTAAGCGACTCTGGCTGGTCAAACACGGAGCTTTTTCAGCACTGACAGAGCATTTCCCGAAGCATGCTGTCTGCAGATAGTCCACTTCTTATTGTGTATGATGATCATAGATCCCACGTATTCTATTCCACTTATCGAATAGGCATGTCAGCATCACATTATTTTGTTTGTACTGCCTGCACACACGTCCCATATTTACAGCCATTGGATGTTGGTTGCTTTGGACCTTTTGCTAATATTTACAACAACCTCCGTCGTACGTATATGCAGGAAAATGCCACAAGTTCAGTAGATAAACATTCTGTTCGTGAACTTGGCTGTAGAGCTTATAGCCAGTCGCTGACACCAACAAATTTGCAATTCTCTTTCAGGAAATGTGAAGTCTATCCATTTGACAAATCTACCACCACCAATATCAACTTTGCGCCATCAACAGATTTTAAGTAGACTGAACGTTTGCTGCATCCTGATACTGGTGTTATTGATTCAAGTGTGCCAGTTGGAGACAAGGATGTCACTTCACATACTGAGGGCAATGATATAGCCTGCAGGATTCTTTGAAGACAAGACGACAGTACTTTTCAAGAAAGCTGTGCCTACTGAAAAGAGAAACGCTCTGAGCGCTGTTGTCGGGGGCAAGGTCATCACTAAAGACGTCAATCTGAATAAAATTATTTTCAAACAGACTGTGAAATCGGCACCCAAAAACAGAAAGCAAGCACCTAAACCAAGTAAATCTTCAAAAAGAAAAACTACCGTCACTGCAATGAAGGCAAGTAACTTCTGAAACTTCACGGACCAACGCACATCAGGACGATAGTTTTGATTTGTACGATAGTGATGTGACAAGTGACGACAACTCTGCTGCAAATGTAACCAATTTGTACCTGATGAGGTTCAAGCTGATGTCTCACTGATCATTACAACCTGGGCACAATGTACCCACCCTACATGTCAGCACTGGACACATTTACTTTTATGCATGCCAGTTCGTGTTGTGCGTCGACATTCTAAGTTTTGGTGCCCCTGTCATAATGAGCCTGAATAATAACTCCCTGCATCAACCTTGTAAATAGGCTGGATATTTGTGACTTTTCATCGTTTTGTTTTCAATACTAAAACATAAAATGAACGTTTGATGGACAAAAATATCATAAAACAATTGTGGACTGTTCTAAATCGGATTTTGACACAAGAGATCGTCCATACATCATCCTTTATGCAACAAGCCAACCAATCAAATGATCGAACTGTGTGACAGAGCTTTCTGGGTCTCTTCTGTTGACAGTGAGTGTCACTTTCAGAACTGTTTGTCATAAATAAAAAAGTGTACAGGCAAGATATTGGAGAAAAAGATAATATATGAATATTACTATTAATATTCAGCAACTTTCCGTAAAAGATCAACTTCCGTGACACAAGGATATATATTATGCCAATGAAAGTTCATTTTGAAAATGAGAAAATTATTTTTTACAAAAGCTGAACAATTCTGCATCACTTACCTCTCTATCAACATCTGACAAGAAATACGTTTAAAGATCCTGTACAGCTAACGCCCTCAACTAGGAGAAACTACAACTCCCAATATCCGCACTCCAAGTCCAATGTCAACAAGAGGGAGTGGATCGAGTATGATAGCCCCGGTGCAGTTCTACATATTTGTAGCAACCTATCACCTGATATTACGCTCGCAACATATACGCCTTGTTTGCTAATCACACACACACACGAGACTACACAAGCGTGACATAACAAGCTGATATTGTCATAAGGGACTCGGCCAGTGACAAATTCACTCGATAAACGAATTCAATTTATGGATTTACAAGCATTAGGTCAGAGCGGACTGTCGGTAAAACCTTCACAGTGTGGATCAATGTCATGACCAAGGAGCACACGGTAAAGTGGTATTAGAAACTACCACTGACAGACGATTGTGCGCGGGACAAACTCGTTTGACTGGGAGGGAAGCGTCAGGCAGCAGGTGCCCCTTTGCGATCCGGTACATGCACTGTGGAACTCGATGTGTCCACTAATACTCGATGCAAATACGTAATCAATTAACAATTACGAAATACTAGTTCAATATGTTAATTTATCAGTGTTGGATATCCATGCATAAAGTACCTGTAAGTTAGAAAGAGAATGAAAAAGACTTACCAAATAGCGAAAGAATTTCTAATTTCTCCAACGGAAGTACAAGCCACTTCCGGACAAGTGGGCGGAGTCAAGAGCAGACAACTTTGTAATGCTTGAATGCAATGCTAGCCACTGCAAAAATGGATTTTACAGCATTTTCAATGTTCTCAGTATTGTGTAGAATAAATAACATCTCGTTGATTCGCCAACATTACCTAACCACATTATGACACACAAACACCGAAAAACAATGTGAATTTTATTTTGATAACTTACACACGTTGTTATGAACATGCTTACATTACAAACTCACTTAAATACAAATTAAGGTACTATTGAATTTTCTAATTTCTAGTACCTACAGAATATCGATCATGCTATTAAGCGCCGATAACGAGAACGATTTTATCAATGTATTTTAAACTTTAAACATAAAATATATATGACAATCACCCCTTTCTGTCACTTAATTGTTTCATAATTATGCCAAATATATGTGATGGAAGACAATTATCAAGATGGACAGGTCACCTATCATGCCTCAGTGTTATCTTACTCACTCCATCTAACATAATTCTGATCCCATCGTAATTTCTCATCGTAAAAATACACTGTAGATATCGCTTGATCTCACCCAAGCCATATCTCCGTGGGAGCCAGTTTTGGATGATAAATATTACTTACAGTAAAGAAAAATAATGCAAAGTGCGCCTTTCAAGAAATATCCAATGATGTTTATCGTAAGCAGTATATCTCGTGATTCTATATCAAGTGGTGAGGACGATAATAATTCTAAAACCCGAATGTCCCTGTCTTTGAAGTATGTACATGGGTTTAGGCTGTAATATACTGTCTGGTACCGAATAAGAAATTAATGTATTATTCACCGAAATGATCTACACTGGTGAAAATCCCATTAATAAGCTAACATGGCCAAAATATATCTCAGTACTTGACCGACGGTATCTTGTCCAGTGGAACTTGGTATTAATAAGAGAACATACACTAACGAAATCAAGAAAATTGGTGTATACCGAATGGTAATAACCTTACTTCAAACAGGAATAAGCTGCGGGCAAAAGAAAGTAGACACCCATGTCTGGTGGTCACTAAAATGAAACAATCAAGAAATGGTTACTGGATGGTGATGTATTTCATCCGGTATCATAGTTGTGTTTGAGACCTAAGTCTACACTGTTTCGGGGACTGTGTTCACTCTAGTTACGTCTTGACAACGTATGTAATTGTTTGGTCAAATCCAATTTTCAAGTGTATACTTTCTTTTGCCCATCAGTTTATTTGTCCTTGAGAAGAAGGGTAGTTGTAAGGAATCAAGGACACTATGTAAATTCTTCTCAGATAAATTAAGTGGTGTTAAATTGCCATTCGGCATTAATGCATGAATAAATACGCATATATATGTATATATACAGATGCAACAGTGACAAAGGTAACACCTGCCCCGATTATCCAGTGTATTATATCACCATTCTATTATGATACACTGGGTAATCGAGAAGAGGCAACGTAAACACCAATATCATACATGTACCAGTAGGACACGGCATGATGCACGTCAGTTACTAGATTAGTTTAGGCTACAGGGATGCCAATTGACAGTTGTGTATTCTATCAAAAACATTACATTTTCTCTATGTCCCAAAAAACAATGCAAAACATTCAAACCTTCTATGAAAAGCACTCTTATGGGACGGCACACCCAATATAACAGTGATAGAAAATATCACTAGCCCTCTGATGGTGTTAAGTCCAGAATAGGAAGCTATTATCCTTGCTTTCTTACAGCTCACGCTTTTTGGGCCTGTACACTTTCCATGGAGTGAGTGAGTGAGTGAGTATGGTTTTACGCCGCTTTTAGCAATATTCCAGCAATATCACGGCGGAGGACACCAGAAATGGGCTTGACACATTGTACCCATGTCGGGAATCGAACCCGGGTCTTCGGCGTGACGAGCGAACGCTTTAAACACTAGGCTACCCCACCGCCCCCACTTTCCATGGAAATGTTGTACCCCAGAAACGCGTATAAACAATTGAGTCATACGTGATGAAGGGCTGACATCCGTCACTGGCTCGTAGCGTATGTTCGGTCCGTGAGTACACAAGAGCTTCCAGTGATGCGATTGTTGCCAGATTTATATTCTGCATTTGTCGATACAAAAATCGTTGATATTTACAGTTGGTTTTGTAAAAATAGTATCATGAGCACAATGTGTAAGAACTCAAAATATTATAATTCATATCAAGTAAAATAAAAGATGAAGATGATGGATTCGTGGGTGTGGCACCTTGTCCCAACATAATGTTTTAGTACTGTTCGAAGTTCTTCTCGGCACTGTATTCGGGGGGAGAGCTTGTCGCCTGTGGTCCGGTCACCCCTCCAGGCTGTGAGCGTTCTTCGCGCCATGCTTTGAAGGAGAAGTAAGCCATTGCTAAATGCAAACCCAGCGCCATAAAGCCGAACACCTATAGAAAAAAAACGGAAAACAAACATACCATTTTATAGCGAGTGTAAGTTGTAACACATGTTATATTTGGGATAACACGTTCCTGGTAAAGTACAAATTCTAGTACCTTTTTGAGTTGAGTCCCGTCCGGGATTCGAACCCACACTTGCCAGAGTGAGGCACCTAATCGCCAGCACACAAATTCATCGATCTAACCCACTCAGCTACCGAGGCTTCCACAATGATGAAAGTCCGACAACTGGTAGCCTAGGTCACGTACTTTGAGTACCCCTCTGACAAGTGTAAATTGGCACGGCTCCCATGGCCGAAAGCTATGAATACACAATGCCATTTAGAAAGTGGTCAAATGTAACACATGTTATATTTGGGATAACACTTTCTTAATAAAGTACAAATTCTAGTACCTTTTTGAGTTGAGTCCCGTCCGGGATTCGAACCCACACTTGCCAGAGTGAGGCACCTAATCGCCAGCACACAAAGTCAGCGATCTAACCCCCTCAGCCACCGAGGCTTCCACTCTGGCAAGTGTGGGTTCGAATCCCGGACGGGACTCAACTAAAAAAAGTACTAGAATTTGTACTTTACTAAGAAAGTGTTATCCCAAATATAACATGTGTCACATTTGACCACTTTCTAAATGTCATTGTGTATGAGTGTAAGTTGCAATTTTCTAGCTAAATCGCGGAAACCTGTACTTAATCGGGTATGTGAATGACAAATCAAGGGTTAATAGGAATTTTATTGATATGTATAAAAAAATCACATTATTCCCCGGAAGCGAACTCTGCCTTTTTATAGCATACAGAATATAAGCGCTTAACCAACGCAATGAAGAGATATAAAGAAGCGACATGAAAAATACACGCCTGCCTCGAACATACCAAATTTTCTTTCGAAATAAATAAAGAAACGACGATAATTCCCCCAATTCCATCAACCTCACGCCACACCGCTGCGGTGTTGCGGTAATATTGCTAAAATTGTGAAATACCACTCACTCAAGCCCTCTGCAATGGTGTCTGAAGCGCATGTAAAATATACTCAGGAAGTTTATGCTAGAAGTTTGCCTTAAGGAAGAATTGTCTACGTCTCATTGTAACGAAATGTCTCATTGAAATGCTGGGATTCTAGGCATTATAATGTACTTGATAGTAGATTATTATTAAACATATTTTATTTTCCAAAAAGACAAAGGGATTGGGCACAAGTGCAGCACTTTTTACCGCCTTCTCCCTATATACAGTTATACATAATATTGCATAATGAAAATGAGTGAGTGAGTATGGTTTTCCGCCGCTTTTAGCAATATTCCAGCAATATCACGGCGGGGAACACAAGAAATGGGCTTCACACATTGTAGCCATGTCGGGAATCGAACCCGGGTCTTTGGCGTGACGAGCGAACGCCTTAACCACTGGGCTACCCGACCGCCCCTTAATGAAAATGAACAATTTACAGTTGAAGCTTCACATTGTGGAAACATAGTGCGCAATATATATACAGTGCTCATCTGAAGGATATGTACAATGTGCTGGAAGGTGATGACAGTGTGCATCTCATACATATGCTAATATTATACATTTTAGTGTTGTATATAGATTTAACATTATTAATGATTAACAGTTTGGAAACCATATGCTAGCTACTGAATCTGTTAGTCGTTTCTATAAATTATGTACAGACAAAAATATTTTTGTATTCAGGAAAACATCTAAGTTGGGATCACCAAAAAGAATACTATGTAGAGTTTTTTATCCTCCAAGATTATCGATAGCTGTCAGTAATGTCTCCCTAAAATCACCTTATAAGGTACATTCGAAGAAGAAATGGAATGAATTTTCACAAGGAGCTCCGCATTTACAGGAAATACTATGAGATAAATTAACACGAAACAGGTCTGAATTTAGTGCTACAATTGTGTCTCAATGTAGTGTGCAATATGTTTGTAGATATCTTACCGCATTTATAGTACATAGGTAGTGATGTAGGCTGCTCAGATGCTACGGCTTTAAAATATGATATTGATGGACTATCCCTGATTATAGTAGATATATATATCCTTTGGTTGGTTGGTTGGTTGGTTGGTTGGTTGGTTTTTTAACGCCGCACTCAGCAATATTCCAGCTATATGACGGCGGTCTGTAAATAATCGAGTCTGGACCAGACAATCCAGTGATTAATATCATGAGCATCGATCCACGCAATTGGGATCGATGACATGCATCAAACCAAGTCAGCGAGCCTGACCACCCGATCCCGTTAGTCGCCTTGTACGACAAGCATTGTCACCTTTTACGGCAAGCATGGGTTGCTGAAGACCTATTCTACTCCGGAATCTTCACGGACCTATATCTCCTTTGAACAATTTGACAAAACATATATGATGGTGTCAGAACCAAAAGGGGTCCAATGCCAAAATTTGTGATTTCGAGTCAACAATCGGAAAGGAAACAGGGCGGTCCCTTCAATGTAATAATACAGATATCATGGCCAAATTCACTTCTGAAGTGGTCCTAAATAAACGTTAAAGTTTACATGTCAAGTGAGTGAGTGAGTTATATTCCAGCAATATCACGGCGGGGGACATCAGAAATGCGCTTCACACATTGTACCCATGTTGGGAATCGAACCCGGGTCTTCGGCGTGACGAGCGAACGCTTTAACCACTAGGCTACCCGGCTACCCAGTGACATGTCAAGAAAAGTGCCTAGTGTCCTCGTTATAAAAACATTAGATTGCACTAGGCCTTTTTTATTATAAAATACAGTCGAAATACAAGTCGTATGTTAAAGCTTTTCAAGAATATTTCGACAATCCGTTGAACAATTCGATGTCAATAAAACGTTTTAATTCAGTGATACACATTTACCATGTATTATGCTTCATCAGTCTCAAACTTGACATGACAATCACAAGACAATTATTTTTCATATGGGCCCTTTTGTTCCTCAGTAATTTGTTTAGTAATAGGTTGTAAAATCACATTAATTTTTATTTGCTTTCTATTTATATTATATTTGATTGATGAAAGATGAAGCTTTAAGGTCAAGGAATTAGCTTAACAAGGAATAGCTAGAAACAGTTACAAATTCAACAATTTCTGGTTATATTCACCAATAGACCCTTTTGGTTCAAATTTGTTTCGTAGTGTACTTTGCAGAATGTGGCGTTTCCTTAAGATCCTTGGTGAGCTGATCGTTCATATTTTCAAACTTCTCCTAATAGAACATATTCGTACTGTTATGAACAGAGGAAGGAAATATTGTTTTATGGAGACACTTTGATTTCGATGCTATTTTGAGTGTGAAAGAAAACCAACTGAGGAGACTACAAGATCACTTATCCAGTCAGTTGTTATTAAATACTTATGTCACATCCAATTACCATAGCCAAAGGCTCTAGCCGTTTCCGTGGTCTGGAGACTACTGTTAGAACGCGTGGATCTTACCCTATAATACTGAAGGAGTTATCTCCCATTAATTTATTTCATAGCGACATATAAATGTTCGGTTGATTTCTACTCATTCATTTTAAGCTGACGCTACGAGTTTATATCCAACTACCGGTAGTCCAAATCAGACTACAAAAGTACCTAGATTGAGAAAAAATATTTTGTCTTCCCTGATTTGATGTTTGTTTGTTGTTTAACGCCGCACTCAGCAATATTCCAGCTATAAATCTGGGCAAGACAATCCAGTGATTGACGTCATGAACATCAATCCACGCAGTTGGGATACAATGATATGTATCAACCAAGTCAGTGAGCCTGAAAACCCGATCCCGTTAGTCGCCTTTACGACAAGCATAGTGGCCTTTCAGGGTTGAAGGCCTATTCTATCCCGGATCTTCCCTGATATGAAAGGTAACAACTGTGTCTAGCCATGTGCTGTATTTATAAACCTATTCATTGGGATCGCCATTAAGTAAGAGACTTCTTTCTATAGGCATTAAAACCTATTGTGAGGTTTTACTTTCCAGTCGGGTTAAATCGCATAAACAGGGACGTTGTAATGTCCCTGGGATATTATATAATGTCCTGGGTATTTTATGAATACAACTTCCGTTCAGATTGTAACATGTAATGAAATGTAAAATCAAATGACAAATGTTTTCTTTATATTCCCGAGGATCGAACTCGCAAACTTCATATCTGTAGCCCAGTGAGTGTACCACGAGGCTACAGAGGTGTTGATAAGTCTCACTGGTTTTTAGATTGTCCTTTTCAAGATCCGTACGCCAGCAACAGATATTTTACGCGCGTTTCCTAAGGTTCATGGAAAGTATGTTCGAAACATAAAAATGTTCATAAATGTTGTTTTAAGTTTCTTTTTTCGGTTTATAAGCATGGAAAAACACTTTCCCTCGGTTTTGGTAGACAGAGCATGCCCTGGGGAGAGGGAAAAACCAAGGGGGCGAAGCCCCCGCGGTTTTTCCATCTCCCCAGGGCATGCTCTGTCTACCAAAACCGAGGGAAAGTGATTTCTCCAATACATAAAACATGCACATCGGGTCAGTTCTAACATATCAAAATTATCATTTGTTTCTGAGAAGTTTGTTTATTTGTTGTATAACGCCGTAGTCAATAATATTCCAGCTATATATGACTGGCCTGTAATTGCCGGACCCCCCCCCCCCCCCCCCCCCCCCATGAAAATAAAACTTAAATTGTTTTCTGGAAGAGTTGAATGGATCATTTGAAATAAACGCATTCGGAAAACCAGGGTAGAGAAAAAATATATCGAAATCTATATTATGTTTAAACTATGGTATTGGAAACAGGGACTGGTCCCAGTCTAGGTGTTTTCCCTTCTCGCGATACTAAACGGTCCTTATCAAACCGTGACCCGTCAAACTGTTCACTTATCGGACGTCAGATATAGTAACTTTCCTGTTTATATTACTAAGTGCTACACGTAGGATGCTTGGAACCTATTGTAACGCCGAATCCCCGGTGACGGATAAGCCACATGTACTCAGATTAAAAAATGTAAAGAAGATAGTACTCAATTTTTGAAAGAGGTTTGTCTTGGAAAATATCCCTGTCAAAAGTGGAGTATTATATAAGCATGGTATAAATGAACGAAGACTCACAATATCTTAAAAAGGGAATACCATAGGCAATATCTACTATAGCATTCACCCGATTAAACGCCTTTACGACAAGCATAGTGGCCTTTTAGGGCTGAAGACCTATTCTATCCCGGATCTTCACGGGTCTTCCCTGATTTGAAAGGTAACAACGGTGTCTAGCCCTGTGCTGTATATAAAACATGCACATCGGGTCAGTTCTAACATGTTAAAATTATCATTTGTCTCTGAGAAGTTTTTGTTTATTTGTTGTTTAACGCACACACTAAGACACACTATATCTTAAAAAGGGAATACCATAGGCAATATCTACTACCGTATTCCCCCGATTAAACGCCTTTACGACAAGCATAGTGGCCTTTTAGGGCTGAAGACCTATTCTATCCCGGATCTTCACATCGGGTCAGTTCTAACATGTTAAAATTATCATTTGTCTCTGAGAAGTTTTTGTTTATTTGTTGTTTAACGCACACACTAAGACACACTATATCTTAAAAAGGGAATATCATAGGCAATATCTACTACCGTATTCCCCCGATTAAACGCCAGGGTGTACATTTCGTCAGACAGTCTTTACCCCCAGTATGTATTCGCAAAGATAATAACGGTAAGACTTTCTTGCGTGAAAATATACGCTTAATCCATGTCAGGCGTTTAATCGAGGAAATGCGGTACATTAGTAGCAGGTATGTCAATTGGCTATAGAACTGAACGTGAACTGTTACCGCTGCTGCCGCATTCCCAGCCTGACCACATGCTTGTACAGCCACCAGGATTGATGCGATGAAGTAGAAAAAGGACCACACAGATGACCATATGAGGTCCTGAAAACAAACAAACAGCTCACATTGAAGTGCAGGGTAAAAAATAATGTACAGCTTCTTTTAGATTGAACTTTTGAGAAAATAATCCGGCGCAGAAGAAATTGGAAACATTGTTCACCATTTTTGGAGAAATGTTTTCAAACTGTCAAAAAAGCAGATATTTGTCAACCGAAACCAATCAGCGACATTTTCTCATGTGCTCCGCGAAACAGCTTCGTAACCCATGAAGATCCGGGGTAGAATAAGTCCTCAGCAACCCATGCTTACCGTAAAAAGCGAGTATGCTTGTCACTAGAGGTGACTAACGGGATCGGATGGTCAGGCTCGCTGACTTGGCTGATGCATGTCATTGTATACCAATTGCGTGGATCGATGCTCATGATGTCAATCACTGGATTGTCTGGTCCAGACTCGATTATTTACAGACCGCCGTCATATAGCTGGAATATTGCTGAGTCCGGCGTTAAACAAAAAACAAAAAGAAAACAAACGACAGCTACCTGCTTCTATAGTTCACCTATTGTGCCTTTGTCTATTCGTTATATCAATCCAATTCCATGCAAAGGGGGAAGGTAAGGTGTGGTTACCCCCGCACACACCCCTCAGGATCCGCCAGTAATCCTCATGGGGCATTGTATAAAAAGTTGCAGACATGGAATGGTGCATCTTCCCGAGGCAAGTGAGTTAACTGACTATAAAAGTCCAGTTTCCACCCTTGCCGAACTAGGCTGGTACATTCGTGACCAACTCGTGTTATGCCGGGACAAGCCGAATAGCTTCTTGCAGGTCACGGAAAGGGGCGAGTGGTGACGAATGAGGCTGGTATTATGAAGTTAGATTTTGGCTGGACTAACGAGTCTATGCATAGTCCAATCAAAATCGCGCACCGTAATCGAAATCCGGTTCGTAGAGTGTCATGCAGATTTCGGTCGACTGCAGGATTTGCAAAGCATGTGCAACGCTAACTCGTTGTCAACAGATATTTTCTAAATCTTTTCATGTTTTTAATCCACGTGCTCACGTGATTTGATGCACTTCGCGATGTTCGGCAAGGGTGGAAACTGGACTTTTAAAGTCAGTTTACTCTCTTGCCTCAGGAAGATGGGAATGGTGTTAGCTCTCTACTCACCCATATCTTCCAGGGGACAAACTTGAAGATGATTTTTTCGTACAGAACGAGCACATATATGATGTAGTTGATGAGGCCCGTGAGGAAGTCAGACATGGAGACGAAGCCGTAGAAGCTGTAGCCGGAGCCGTACACGGCATCGCAGTATATGTTGGCGCGTCCGGCCGACAGACAGATGAACCCGATCAGGGAAATAATCTAGTAAAATAAATAAATCATCATGAATCTGTTTGGTATGTCATCTTCTGGTTTATTTTTTTCAAAGTCACCATTTTCCTATTTCCCTATGCTACCTTACACACACCATTTAAAGCCATTTGCGAAAACCCGCATGTTCAATACTTAAGGGTGCTTACGTTCCTCTAGACTTGCGCAAGTCTCTAAAGCAATAATTATTTGTTTCAATCATACTTTCTAGATGGTATGAATGATAAGAAGTCCCCAAAAGAGACTGACGTCCTAGAGACTGTACTCTCCGCTTATATAGACTATTATAAGCATAGAATTACAATACATCGATTAACTTATCAATCAGGATAGCCTTGGAGCAAGGCTAACACTCCATCATTCGTGAGTACACACGAAACGATAAGAAGATACGAGTTGATGATTAAACGTATGTTATAAACAGTCTTACGTCTGTTATAAATAGCGATACCCCGGCCAAATATCAACACCGACTATCCACATCTCTTGACATTGTATTGCAATCGACCGGTGGAAAGTGCAAATGTATTCATCGATAATTCTGTCAATTGTTGGGTTTTTACCGTTATAGCGGCAGTAAGAATGCCATGTATACTCTTGCAGTAAGTGATGTCTATGTATATGCCCCACTTCAAGTCGACTGTTTCCCTTCCTTCCTTATTTGTGTTTTGACTTGCGCTTTCTGGTTCGTTGTCCATAGTGGAGATCTGCAAATAAGGCCATTGTTAAAAAACTATTTTTCTAACACTTGAGCAGACACATGGAAATGAACACATAAAAACAGTTGTAGCATTATAGGGGGTGAGTGAGCGAATCTTATTTTCGTGACAGTCAGCAATAATTCATCCATATCACACAGTCGGGTCTGGGCCAGCCAAACTAGCGTAAATAATTGAGTCTGGACCAGACAAATTAGTATTAGTATTATATATTATTTCACGTTGTTTAGGTGTGTGTCAAGTGACTTTATATATTGTGTCACGTTGTTTAGGTGTGGCAAGTGACTTTATATATTGTGTCACGTTGTTTAGGTGTATGTCAAGTGACTTTACATATTATGTCATGTTATTTTTTAGTGTGTGTCAAGTGACTTTATATATTATGTCATGTTATTTAGGTGTGTGGCAAGTATCTATATATATTATGTCACGTTAATTAGGTGCGTGGCAAGTATCTATATATATTATGTCACGTTGTTTAGGTGTGTGGCAAGTATCTATATATATTATGTCACGTTGTTTATGTGTGTGTCAAGTGACTATATATATTATGTCACGTTGTTTATGTGTGTGGCAAGTGACTATATATATTATGTTACGTTGTTTATGTGTGTGGCAAGTGACTATATATATTATGTTACGTTGTTTAGGTGTGTGGCAAGTGACTATATATATTATGTCACGTTATTTAGGTGTGTGGCAAGTATCTATATATATTATGTCACGTTGTTTAGGTGTGTGGCAAGTGACTTTATATATTATGTCATGTTATTTTTTAGTGTGTGTCAAGTGACTTTATATATTATGTCATGTTATTTAGGTGTGTGGCAAGTATCTATATATATTATGTCACGTTAATTAGGTGCGTGGCAAGTATCTGTATATATTATGTCACGTTGTTAAGGTGTGTGGCAAGTATCTATATATATTGTGTCACGTTGTTTAGGTGTGTGGCAAGTATCTATATATATTATGTCACGTTATTTAGGTGTGTGGCAAGTATCTATATATATTATGTCACGTTATTTAGGTGTGTGGCAAGTATCTATATATATTATGTCACGTTATTGCGGTGTGTGGCAAGTATCTCTATATATTATGTCATGTTATTTCGGCCTGTGGCAAGTATCTATATATATTATGTCACGTTGTTTAGGTGCGTGGCAAGTATCTATATATATTATGTCAAGTTATTTCGGTGTGTGGCAAGTCCATATATATTATGTCACGTTGTTTAGGTGTATGGCAAGTGACTATATGTATTATGTCACGTTGTTTAGGTGTGTGGCAAGTATCTATATAAATTTTGTCACGTTATTTCGGTGTGTGGCAAGCATCTATATATATTATTTCACGTTATTTCGGCGTGTGGCAAGTATCTATATATATTATGTCACGTTATTTCGGCGTGTGGCAAGTATCTATATATATTATGTCATGTTATTTAGGTGTGTGGCAAGTATCTATATATATCATGTCACGTTATTTCGGTGTGTGGCAAGTATCCATATATATTATGTCACGTTATTTCGGCGTGTGGCTAGTATCTATATATATTATGTCACGTTAATTAGGTGTGTGGCAAGTATCTATATATATTATGTCACGTTAATTAGGTGCGTGGCAAGTATCTATATATATTATGTCACGTTGTTTAGGTGTGTGGCAAGTATCTATATATATTATGTCACGTTGTTTATGTGTGTGGCAACTGGTGACTATATATATTATGTTACGTTGTTTAGGTGTGTGGCAAGTGACTATATATATTATGTCACGTTATTTTGGTGTGTGGCAAGTATCTATATATATTATGTCACGTTATTTCGGTGTGTGGCAAGTATCCATATATATTATGTCACGTTATTTAGGTGTGTGTGTGTGTGTGTGTGTGTGTGTGTGTGTGTGTGTGTGTGTGTGAGTGTGTATAAATTGTTTACGAAGTGATTTGCATTAATAGACAGCCGCTAAGAGGCGTGTCCCGCGTGAACTATCGGAAATCACAAATGCCGCGATACGATGAATGCCGCGGTACCATGGGGTCCGAGTATATATTGCTGAACGGCGGTCTGTAGAAAATCGAGTCTGGACCAGATAAACCAGTGATTGAAATCAGGACCATCCTCGCCAATGGGAACCGATTACATGAACGTTTAACATTCTCACAAATATGACAAATATAAAATAGACAAAATTATTTTCTACTCACACTACCGCTCCCAATTGTTTAAATAAAACAAACAAGACGGTTTTATGGGTCTAACTTTATGTATTTGGTCGACCAACGATGGAAAATGTCTAGATTCAGTTGCACCATATGATTTTCACGACAGCCACCATTATTTGTGTCTCCCTATACAAACGTGATAAATGTGTACATCAAACTGAAGATGTTTTTTTTTTATGTCAACACCAACGAGTAACTTCACAACAGCCGTCACGGTATATATGCATGTGCCCATGTTTATGAACGTGCCATGTGTCACAGTCATATATGACTCGTATTTAACCATCACCACCATCTGTTGCATAATGTATAGTCCGTTTAAATAACCTGTCTACCAAGTTGGTTGGTTGGTTTGTTGTTTAACGCCGCACTCAGCAATATTCCAGCTGTATGACGGCGGTCTGTAAATAATCGAGTCTGGACCAGACAATCCTGTGATTGACAACATGAGCATCGATCCACGCAATTGGGATACAATGACATGCATCAACCAAGTCAGCGAGCCTGACCACCCGATCCCGTTAGTCGCCTCTTACGACAAACAAAGTCGCCTTCTACGTGAAGCATGGGTTGCGGAAGACATTCTACAGCGGATCTTCATGGGTCTAGTCAACCAACACTAATACACGTCTTCGCTTGCACGCAAAACCAAGCGACACCGTTCCCGGAAGTATGAAATTATTAATGTTTTACCCTATTCGGCTATAACGCGGATTACTCTGATAAGCGTATTAGCATGTGATGTTTACAGCCGACCTGAATATAATTCCCCCGAATTTACACTTGATGAACATCGAATAACTGCAGCTTAGCCACAAAGAAAGTAATCCCATTAGCGTTAACAACCCTGGGTCAAGATAGATGTAAATATAGTCTACACTACTGAGATGATAGCATACATTCAACGTGTACTACATGAAGGTGTTATAACGGGGATAGCAGGAATACAATGCCGCTAAAAGACCATTAAACGCGCAAAAGCTGACACCAACTGAGAAAATACTTGGTGACAGCCGGGTGTTGGACTAAACTCTTCATATCGGCATTGACTGACATCAAACAGGGGAGCCACTAGCTTACCTTGTGTTCAGATCCGCCCCTGTGCGCGTCCTGATGTCACGTGACTAGAGGGTACGCCGGTAGAGGGAGGTGTGTGTGGTTATGACAATCATTGACTTGTCGTGGGCCTGTATATATATATGTGGTATCATAAACACGAGACATGACAGAGTGGCTAATGATAGAAGAAAACGCGTCTATGAATCTATTGATGCGTCTATATTATATCTAATAGTTCCAACTGTGTTCATTAGTGTTTGTTTGTTTGTTTGTTGTTTAACGCCGCACTGAGCAATATTCCAGCTATATGACGGCGGTCTGTAAATAATCAAGTTTGGACCACACAATCCAGGGATTGACAACATGAGCATCGATCCACGCAATTGGAATCGATGACATGCATCAACCAAGCCAGCGAGCCTGACCACCCGATCCCTTAGTCGCCTTTTACGGCAAGCATGGGTTGCTGGCGTTATGGGATATCGCTAAGGACAAAATATGCCACAGTTTCCATTGAATGAGGGGGTGAATGAGTATTGTGTTATGTCACAGTCAGCGTAAATTATTATATCTATACACGGTGGCTTGTTGGTATTACGTATAAATCGAATCTTGTGATAAAACAGTAGATGACTGCCTCGGATGACTGCTGGCAGTGTTCTGGGGACACACCGTGCTCTCACTGTTCTGGGCGAAAGGTCAGTCAGCCATGGTAGTGAGGGTGAGTGAGTTGTGTTTAACGCCGCTTTTAACAGTATTCCAGTTATATGACGACGTGTCAGTTTAATGTGGGAGGAAAGCCCGAAGTGATACAGGTCTCAGACGTTTACCACTTCGGTGAAACCCACGAGCACGGGTATGGTCCTGACAAACCTAGAAACATAATCGGGGCGAACCGGGATTCGAAACCACAATCAGAGGTTTCTGGCGTGCCCAAGGGACGCAACTCTGCACAGTGAATCGCGGCGCCTTAGACGACTGGGCCACCCGTGCCCCCGTCAGCCATGGTAAAAGAGACAATCGGGTGATTAACTATAGCAAGTTGCGGAATAGCAGGTATACGTTTATTCATTTATACATATAACATTACAAATAAACAGACATTAAGATACATATTCAATTAAAATCAATTATATGAATATGGTTATTGATTTAAATTACATATTTATTGGTAATTCAAAGGTACGTGAAACATACTATCCCATACAACTATAGCTTTTGTTTGCTTGTTTCTTATTCCGTGTCTTATAAAGGACGGCGGCCTGTAAATAATTGAGTCTACACCAGACAATCCAGTGATTGATATTGTGACAAACGATCGGGGTACGATGACACTCAACCAACCAACCACCGAGGCTGACCACCCGTTCCATTTGACCACCCGTTTCATTTGACCACCCGATCCATTTGACCACCCGTTCCATTTGACCACCCGTTCCATTTGACCACCCGTTCCATTTGGTAGCCCCTCACGACGAGTGTCATTCTTTGGTGTATGATATTCAAGTATATCAAAATGTCTGATGACAAAAGTTAAATGCAGACAAATGGTATTAAATTAAAATTATTTTGATCAACTTTTGATAGGACCTTCATCTTAAAAAACAATTAAATGACAATCAGTCAGTCTCCAAGAACGGCTATGTGACGCATTTGAGAAAACTACCTCATTTCATTATATATTATATCTATAGACTTCAACACTTGAGTTCATGCTGTAGGTTCAACTTAAAGTGAACAAATCTGATTATGCATTTAAAGTGAGTTCTTTCAACACGTCCAATGCCCAACTTCCCTGTAGTTTTAATAATCCCTTACCAACGTACTTGTGTGTTAAACTGCAAACCTTTTTAAAGCTTTACTGTACCTTATATATGTACTCCAAGACGAAATCATAGACACGCCAGGAATCACTCCATCAAGCTGTAAATCCAAAACGGAAGTGTTATTTATATATTATATTACACAATCAAGTCCAGCACAGCAATCGCTGTGTTAACCATTTGCTTTCGCGAATAGAGCCTTTGTATCGCTCCAACTTGTGGCTTGTTAATACCCGTGGCTTGACAATCAAGTCCTGGCAACGCTCGTGTGTTCGGGAAGGCTTCACCGTAAGCGAGTAACACAAAGGCGGCGATATAATGTTTCTGGCTCTGGTGGTTATTACCCAATGCGCGTATTCTTCTCACGACCAGGCTTAATTATGAAAGTTAAAACCCGTAACACGATACAGCTGAGTTAAGATATGCCGGTCATGTACACTTAGCCATTGCTGTCATATCCAAGCCAGTCGCACGCTTACCGTATTACACCCTTTAAATATATATATATATTCGCGAACACCTGTCATCACTGATTTTTCAGCGATCCATGCATATGTATACGTTTCAGACCTATTTTGCCTTGCGCGCCCAGTCGGGTGTGTTCCGGTGGATGACCGGCACTAGTTGTTCTCGTGTGTTGACGTGTGATGAGTGAGTGAGTGAGTGAGTGAGTTGGTTTAACGCCGCTTTTAACAGTATTCCAGTTATATCACGGCGTGTCAGCTTAATGTGGGAGGAAAGCCCGAAGTGATGCAGGTCTCAGACGTTTACCACTTCGGTGAAACCCACGAGCACGGGTATGGTGCTGACAAACCTAGAAACATAATCGGGGCGAACCGGGATTCGAACCCACAATCATAGGTTTCTGTCGTGCCCAAGGGACGCAACTCTGCACAGCGAATCGCGGCGCCTTAGACGACTGGGCCATCCGTGCCCCCCTGACGTGTGATGATGTTATGCAAGTTATTAAAGTCTTTGATAGGCATTTAGAAGCTGGAAGAACATGAATACATGACACGTTTTATGGATAACAATTTCTTTTATTCTTTGTCATGACGTTTAGAGCTACTTCCTGTTCATTCATCAGGTGAATGACAGTTCATTCTAATATTAGAAAAAAGCATTCAACTAAAAAATGTTACCCTGTTCAACGTAGTGATCTGTCACACACAGAGCTTGAAAAGCACGAGATTAACTAAAAAAGAATGTGCGCAAGTGGTATAGCAACGGATGTGTTTGGACGAGCACTTCCAAGTTAATCGGTGAGTGTATTTGGACGAGCTATTCCAAAACAAACCATGAACAACTGTTTCCTTCTGTTCACCCTTATGGTGTATGAGCTATCAGCATTACGTATATCCTCTTTAAGGATGGTAGTAAAAAGTAACTGCTTTTAAAATAAGTTCAATTTGCGAGCGCATGTTTGAATCTCCAAAAATGACGCCATCATAGAACAATGTTTTATCATGAAATAAACCACGCTTCGTTCTTCATTGTTCTTTGGGATTTAACGCGTAGCTGGTGTCCGCCCACATCTCAGCAAGGTTGATGACATATTCTCTTTACATTCGTTGTTTAGTCATACATTAAGTTATAATAACCGTTTGTATTGTGCATTTGTAGACTTCATACCTCCATTTATAGGTATAAAATCTGGTATAAGTTAGCAAAGATGGTCATTGTCAGTTATTTATTCTATGTATACTAGCCACATAAAGAAACTGTGCACGAAGAAAATATAGAAATAAGGGCACACCGTCCATATAATGAAATAAAGGTTTGAACACAGCAATTATTGGAGACATTCAAACGCTCATGCACGTGCCATGCGATATGACGTCATTGATGGGGGGCCTATGGACGTGCAATGTGTTACTGTACGTGCATCCTGTGCAGCTGTACACAGCATGTGCAACTCAAAATTCGCTGTCACTTTTGAAAGCATGATCTGTGGTCATTCAAAAATTCAAAACTTCTCAGGCGCAGACACAAGCATATCACAAGCAAATCATGCCAAGAATGACAGCTGCACAGCGTCATGAAGCCATTGGAATGATCCGAGCGGGAATGAGGCAACAACAGGTGGCAACACGTTTCCAATGCCATCGTAACACGATATCGGCATTGGTGAGGCGTTATCAGAACACAAATGACGTTGCCGACCACCCACGTTCAGGACGTCGCCGAGTAACGACGCCAAGACAGGACAGATGGATTCGAGTTACACATCTCCGACACAGGTTCCAAACGGCAGTAACGACGTCCCAGACAATTCCTGGACTGCGCCGTATCCATCCCAACACTGTCAGGAATCGTTTACGTCAGTACGGGATTCGACCACGACGCCCTGCCATACGTCCCATCCTGACACACCGTCATCGAGTCAACCGTCTAAGATGGTGTCGAAATCATGTTCGCTAACCTCGAATATGGTGGAGAAATGTTGTCTTTACAGATGAATCGAGGTTCAACATTTCCCACAGTGACGGGCGCCAACGTGTCTACCGGCGTTTGGGAGAACGTTATGCACGCAACTGTATTGTGGAGAGGAATCGTTTTGGAGGTGGCTCTGTGATGATTTGGGGTGGGTTAACAGCACGGCACCGAACCCCTTTGGTGGTTGTTCAGGGCAATCTCACCGGTGTTGGCTACAGAGATCAGATTCTGAGGCCTGTGGTCATTCCTTTCCTGCAACGTCATGGCCCGGGATTGACATTTCAACAGGACAACGCTCGTCCTCCGACGGCTAGGGTCGCAATGGATTTCCTTCACCATAACAATGTCATGTTACTGCATGGCCTGCGATTTCTCCAGATCTCTCCCCAATAGAGCATGTGTGGGATGAAATGGAGCGCCGTCTGCGTCGTCTTCCACATCCTCCAGATAACGTCCGTGACTTGGCACAGGATTTAAGGAGGATATGGCAGACCATTCCCCAGGCCATTCACTTGACTTTGTGACTTTGTCGTTTGACCCCCTACTCCATTTTGATCTTCTGACGTCATCGTAACAGATGTTACTCAGGTCCCGTTGACATTTTCTTATGGTCCGATCATTCAGCTGCTACAGCGTCTGCATCATTTTGTTCTTGCTGTGTTGTATTTCAATCCAGAATATATTTTCTCCGTGCACCGTTTCTTTATGTGGCTAGTATATTTAAATGTGAGATCATGTGTAACAGCCAATGCATAGGAGTAAAATTAAAGCGTTAGCGCAGTGGCATTATAATGGTACTTTAATTAAAGTTAAATACATATTTGGGTATTGTCCTGTGTTATGATAATAGGTTTACTAAAGCTGAAATACAATACTTGTCGGATCAGGGTAGGAAAGCTCTTTTCTTTCAAAATAGTGAGTGAGTGAGTGAGTGAGTGAGTTGGGTTTAACGCCGCTTTTAACAGTATTCCAGTTATATCGCGGCGTGTCAGCTTAATGTGGGAGGAAAGCCCGAAGTGATGCAGGTCTCAGACGTTTACCACTTCGGTGAAACCCACGAGCACGGGTATGGTGCTGACAAACCTAGAAACATAATCGGGGCGAACCGGGATTCGAACCCACAATCATAGGTTTCTGTCGTGCCCAAGGGACGCAACTCTGCACAGAGAATCGCGGCGCCTTAGACGACTGGGCCACCCGTGCCCCCTCTTTCAAAATAAGTGCGGATTCAGCATTTTTAAAAGGGAGGGGTCCAAAATGTCAAAATCCTCTCTCAGATAATTTTATGTGATTTTATTTTATTCTATTTGTGAGCAAGAATTATTTACTAATTTTAACCCGTGGCTAAGCAACCCCACCACCCTTTTTTATAAGAACACTGGAAATAAAGTTAACAAAAAATATAATATGATTTGCTTTCATCAATTTTTTATTATGCATTTGAAGATCTATCATGCAAAACAAACAAATCTGACATGTAAAATACATCTCCAGTACCATAAATGTTTATTTGCGAGACAGGTATGAAAACATATGTAACTTGTGAGGTTATTAAATTACATCAGTGATATTGAAACATGCCCACAATATTTCAAGAAGTATTCAAACCAATAGTAATAGTGAGTGAGTGAGTATGGTTTTACGCCGCTTTTAGCAATATTCCAGCAATATCACGGCGGGGGACACCAGAAATGGGCTTCACTAATTGTACCCATGTCGGGAAATGAACCCGGGCCTTCGGCGTGACGAGCGAACGCTTTAACCACTAGGCTACCCGACCGCCCCACCAATAGTAATAAACACATCAAGTCACTATGATAGAAAACTATAAACTGTTTTATTAAAATATTAACATGGTATAAAAAAATATGCATATATCATCAGTATAAGTTGCTTCTTCTATAGGCTTCCCTCCAGATTGAATGACAAAAATATATATTTAAATTGTATGATTTTTGTAATGTTTTGTACTGAGCGACTAAAAAAAGACACTCTTTTATTTCAGAATCTATCTTCACCTCATAAACAAGAGGTTCAGATTTGTATTTCCAGAAATAGTTGAAGAATCAGAATTATTCAATCTTGTGTTGTCAAGGTGATTCGTGAACGATTTCCATCTGATGTATTTACTGTTTTTCTCTATGCTCACTAAAATAAACTTTTTTCATTGAAATCTTGTTTTATGGTCTCCGACAACAATCAGCCTTTGCTGTTTCGTTTTATAAGTTTCTGTAATACAGGGTGGCTGATGCTGGATGAGGTAGTCTGGGGCAAGGGCGAAGGCCGGGGAGAAAGACTGAAGAAAATAGCACAAGCACTGGCTGAATGCTTAGTGGCAACTTGTTAGTGCACTGGTTGACTATTTCAAAATAGTTCTCTTGTTGTAGGAAGCACTGTACCTCACAAGACACACTAATATGTTATGATTTGTAGCTCTGCATGAGAATAAACACAATTTGCACACAATGAAAATGGATCTCAACACCAGGAATTTCTTCTGACACCGGTGGGGCAGGATAATCTAACCTTTCGCAAACACCTGGTATCATCACTATTTGATAGCGATTCTTTAACACATGCTCATGATTAAGTCAGAATCGTGCAATCGACTGTTTTTGACAGAGATTTCTTATGAATATGGAAAGGGTTTTGTCGCTTTTATTTTCTTCCATATTATCATTAGGGGACCTGAAAAACAACAACATGTTTTTAAAGATAAATGTGTCAAAATAATATGTACACTGACGAAGTGATTGTAAAAGTAGGTGGTAATAGTCACCAGCTGTGCAAGGCATGTCATGCTTACTTTCGTGAGTGAGTGAGTGAGTTGGGTTTTACGCCGCTTTTAACAGTATTCCAGTTATATCGCGGCGTGTCAGCTTAATGTGGGAGGAAAGCCCGAAGTGATGCAGGTCTCAGACGTTTACCACTTCGGTGAAACCCACGAGCACGGGTATGGTGCTGACAAACCTAGAAACATAATCGGGGCGAACCGGGATTCGAACCCACAATCATAGGTTTCTGGCGTGCCCAAGGGACGCAACTCTGCATAGCGAATCGCGGCGCTTTAGACGACTGGGCCACCCGTGCCCCCTGCTTACTTTCGGCCTCACTGGGTGCCTAAATACAAGTGTCATCAGTTAACTGTGTACGCATTGTATCAGATCTATACTTTCATATGTCATTCACACTATACTTTCATATGTCATCCACACTACACTTTTACATCAAAAGACAATCTTGCTACAATATAGAGTATAAAAGATATACAAAATAGTTCAATACAGAAATTATTTGCATATAGTATTTACGTTGTGTGATTATGTATTGTCAAAATATTATTTTGTACCTCATACTGTGAAGCACGATTTGCCATGCTTCTGGTGTACACTGAACAGCGACTGTACACCATGATGGACTGAGGCTCTTCTGGGGACATGTACCTTCTGGGCATCAGTGTATGGTGTGACCTGGCTGAAAACTACATATTTTAAAGATACAACATTGAAACATTAACACTTTTGTCATCTATATCTCACCATCACAAAGTAAAAAATGGTAACTCGATTTTTTTCATGTATCAATGTACTTTAAAAAATGTACATGTGTGTAAATTGCATCAAACATGAGTGAGTGAGTGAGTATGGTTTTACGCCGCTTTTGCAATATCCCACCAATATCACAGCGGGGGACACCAGAAATGGAATCGAACCCGGGTCTTCGGCGTGACGAGCATCAAACATGAAATATGAGGCCCATGATATTGTATAGTGCCGGGATATTTAGTCAGCTACAACCCAGCAAAACCTGATATGTTTTTAAATAAAAAGTATAATGCCTAAATATAAAAAAAATGAAACAACATGTTGCAACAATGTATTTTTGTGGCTTTTAACTTCAACAGTCTGAATCATAATGATTATACATGATTATTACCCATAATAAAGCTAAAGCTCGGAACTGAGAACGTTAATTTCACTCGGGCCATATTTTCCGTAATCACCCGTATCTCGTGGGTTATCCTCTAATTAGATCACGACCTCCAGCGCCCCACATTTGGTTATAACGTTTCGAAAATGTTTTTGTAAAATATTGCAGAAATGCTTTTGAAAATGTTTTATTCATGTGATTTTGTATGGTTCCTAAAACGTTTTAGAAACATTTTCTGTGAACATTTGATTATAACGTTTCTAAAATGTTTCGATGAAATATTCCAGAGATGCTTTTGGAAACGTTTTATTCACGTGAATTTGTAAGGTTCCGGAAACGTTTAAGGAACGTTTACTGTGAACATTTGGGTAAGCTCCGTGTTTTGCTGCCAATGTTTAAAACGTACAACTCCCACTCACTGTTATCAAGTTACAAATGATTAGGACAAATAGTCAGGGACTGCACACCCTTCAGGCATGTACTGCAGAAAACACAATACCAATGACCCACATGGTAATCCATGCCACATCTTCAACATTCAGTCAACAAAGTGGTACACCAGGAACACCCCAACCCACTTAACGGTCAGTGGCTGAGTGCAGATACAAATCCAATTCTTAGCATTAATTTAAAACCTCAAAACCATAAAAAAATACTTGATCTAGTAGCTCATGGTATTTAACAACAGTTTCTGCACTTACGTTTGCATCATTCACAGCCCCTGGTGTATTTGGTGTATTCCTCAATATACCTAATACCCATTTTCCGTGTTCATCTCCTGGAAGGCTGACCTTATATCGCCTACACCCCATTTCGCCTACGCCCTTATCAAAACAAATTTAGGATTGACTGCACATCACATAAATGCTGTTATACCTTTAGAAAAGTTTACACCAGGGCATTTATGCACTGTGCACTTCATTTCAATGCCACATTTAATAATGCGACTATTACTAACAATGGATTGCATCGACAGATCATGTTTGAAAAGAACTTGGTATCAAACAAAATGTGACGGTAACATTATGAGGCAGTGAGAAATACCTTGTTGTATTAGCCAACTTAGTACAACAGTGTCCCTCTGTATTTTTCGGGAATACGCTATAAATACACATTACGCTCTGCATTCAACACGGGTAAAAGTCATTCATTGCTGATGTGAATTTGATGATTGTTCAAGTGCATAAGGGAATATATTTTCCGCATATGCACATTGAAGTTTTCACTTCGATCATTACGTAATGTTTAGGGTGGTGTCTGGTGCAGTTGTTAGGCTTTCAGGAATGTTATTGTTAATGTTAGGGGCGCGTTGCAAGGCACGAATCGCTTAGAGAAAGCAAATTAATCGCTGCAAAAGTTCGAAGCGCATGCGCACTCTTCCACAATGGGGACGCAACTACCCCTTGGTTGCCTTCACGAAGAAGAACGTAATAAAAGAGGCTCGATGACGAGCTGATGAAATTTATGACTATTTTGAAGATGTAGAGCTGACTGAGGATGATGGGTGGTAAGCTACCTTTGCTCATTTCCTCGTTGATCCAGTCAAAAATTTCTTGTTCCGCTGTCAAAGTCAGCCGCCATTTTAGTTTGAGAACGAAGCGACCTCAGCCAGCGATTGTTTCGCGTACTGTTGTAAGGCGAAACGCTGTGCATCGCTTTCAAGCGATTCGCGCTTTGCAAAGCACCCCTAGATCACGAACATTGTGTATCCCTCTGACAAGTGTAAATTAGCACGGCTCCCATGGCCGAAAGCTATGAATACACAATGCCATTTAGAAAGTGGTTAAAAGTAACAAATGTTATAGGCCTATTTACACAATGACATTTAGATACTTCTTAGATAAGCGGATACTGCTTTTGAAAATGAACTTACCCCCTAAGAAATCAGAGTTCGACTATCCAGGGCCTAGATTTTCGAAATAATCGTAGCCCTAAAATAAACGTACAGTTATCGTAAGGAAATCGTAGGCTATCGTAGCCTATTTTCGAAACTATCGTAGCCCTAACTTCCTAAGATATCTTAAGTGTGTCGTAAATCTAAGATAGCCCCATATCTGTCGTAAGTTTATTTTGTCTTCTTCCGAGATGGCGGCATACTTTGCCATAGATATTTTGCCAAACAATTAGATCTAGTCTGCTTTACGTTCAAACATTGACATTTATTTGGTTAAACTGTGTGAACACAAGAACGCATCAAAGATTTCACGCCAGAAATGTTCTTAATCGCAACAGCGATCCATATAACTATGGAGTCGATAGCTTAAAATATATTTCTATCCAAGTCCATGCTGAAGAAGTATGAAACAACGTACCTTCTCGATAATTTGGGAAGGATAAAAATGGAAGGTGTCCGCAGGCTATGGTAATGACCGTGACCTTATTGATAACTCAGGGGCAGCTAATCTTAGTTCATACTCTAGTTAGAGTGGTTTCCCTTTGTATTCGCCAGGCCAAGCTCCTTCTCAGCGGGTGACACCTACGCCCTGTCCTTCCGGCAAGTCTACAGTAACTCGGCAATGCTCTTACTGAAGAGTGGAACTGTCTTCCATTTGCAACCATCCAGACACATATCGGGAGCATAGGACGACGGTGCTAAGCTGTTATCGCATCAAGTGGATCACATACGCGCTACTGAGATTTGTTGGGGTTTTTAACAAGGAATTAGCATTCGTGATATTTTGGTCAGTTACTATTACGGCATGACCTGTTCATTAAACACGTCTTCACGCAATTTGAACACATTTTGACGTATTATCTTGTAGGATCCTTGGCACTCTTTGAGTAGTAGGCTATAAACATTAAGAATGATCTGGCTATGTAGTCATGTTGCGCTCCCGACACATGTCTTCTAAAAATAATAAACGTACAGTAAAGTACGGATATAACGAACTCAAAGGGACTACTAATTTTAGTTCGTTATAACCGTAGTTCGTTATAAGCATATATACAGCATAACTAAAGCAAATAGTCGGGACCCAAAAAGTAAGTTCGTTATATCCGTCAGTTCGTTATAAGCGTGTTCGTTATAACCGTAGTTTACTGTATTTTGTATATCTATTGACTAAACATCACAATGATTCCTGGCATGATTTTTTTTTATGTATTTTTCGTTTGGTGTTGCTAACGCACTTTCAGTTCTTGAAGCTCGAAGTGTAACACTATCATAGAGTATATGTGGCAGGCTCATTTATGTACATACTTTTAATTAAGATTTATTAGTAAGTAGTAAGGTTATATGGCCTTGTTACCATTTTAACTGATTAGTTTATTACGATGTCTATATTATAAGAATATATTATTAGTTATAATATTAGTTATGTTTTATACCTTAGTATTTTATATCTTAAACATTCATTCCATAGCTCTGTAACATTAAGTAAGCTTACCCTCAGTCTAACTTCCACTAATTGTCACACTGCATGCTTTTGACTTACAGCACTCTTTGCCCCAGCGCGCCCTGGCCCAGTCTATTGTCTTGTTGATAGGCCAAGCTGGCCATAGCTACAGCAATGTCTGTTGTTGTATTTTAGAAAATCAGTTGCTATTTGTCACCTCAAGGAAAGACTCTGCGAGATGTATTGCTGCTTTCATTTCTATGTGAGGATTTGGATTTGTAGAAGGATTTATTCATATTTAAGGTTAGTTGGTTATTTATTTTATGATGTTGTATATATGGATGTTTTCTAATTATTGCGATTTGAAATAATATATATTGTAGAATGCATTCTTAATTTGATTTATTAGAAACATAATGCATCTTGTATATATTTATAGTGCTTGATGAACTTACAGTTCAGTGAGTAATTATTATCTGTATAAAACAGTATTAAACACAAACCCTAAATATATATATAAACTAAGTAATATAAACCCCGTCTGGCAGTAATGGAAAGTAAATGTATGTCTGTATGCTTGATGTATGTTTGAAATGAGTGGCTGTTGTACTATATATTTTATACACTATTTTACCATAGGATATCACTTGTATATAGTATTCTGCATTTGTATTTCTTTATTATGCAGATTTCTCAGTGGAAACATTTACCGTACAATCATTGTCACGGTATTACCAGTTCAGGTATCACCTATCTGGTATGTAATGTTCGTTATCACTCTATATCATATTAATATATTTTGTATCTGTGTATTGATGTATTGTGTAATGTAAAGTAAATGCTATTCATTTTAATGGAAGTGATATATATATATATATATATTAGAAATTTAAAGAGTAACTACATGTATAACGGATTGTATATATTTATTCTATGTTATATTTGCTTATGTTGTACTTTTATTGTTTCAGACTGAAATTAAGTACGTACATTCGTACTGATTATAAAATAAACGTCATCAGCCTCACCACCGACAGCTGTTTGTGATTTATTTGGCCAGTAGAGCGCCTACTCCATTATCGGCCAACACAAGCACGGTTACATATACCTAGAGGTGAGGTGAGGTGAGGTGAGGTGAAATGAAATGGGGTGTAACGTCGCGTCCAAGATTATTCCACTTATATAGCGACGTGCATGCACGTGTATGTATGTGTGAGGGTGCTTGTACTAGTCCGGACTGATGCCGATTTATAGTGCTAGCTCACTGAGCTACCATGCCGCAGTTTAACATGAATACCCCACTCAGACACAGTATACTGACTCCGAGCCGACCAGTCCTTGTTTTAGCACTTAATGCCGAGCGCCTGACAGGGTAACAACAAGTACCATCTTTTAACGTCTTTTGGTATGATGCGGCCGGGGATCGAACCCCGGACCTTCCGCTCTCCGGGCGGACGCTCTACCACTAGACCACGGAGGCGGTCGAGTATACCTAGAACCCTGAGGCAATGCAGCCTGATACCAACGTGGTTATGAAAATATTATGTAAATGTTAATTGAATTTGCCAAACACAAGGATATGGTTCTATGTCTGTAAATTTTAATAAACTGTTTGTTAACTTAAGCTACACAAATACTGTTTCAGGATTTGAGACCAAAATAATCCACTTTGTATCAGATGACACAGTTTTCCGACATTGTACATACCTGCACAATCGTAATATCGACAGTGTCCTGTAGTGTGTGGAATCAAACGCCACATCACTCTCTCTTCTCACTCTCTTAGTTGGGTTTAACGCCGGTTTTAACATTATTCAAGTTATATCATGGCTTGTCAGCTTCATGTGGGAGGACCGAAGTGATGCAGGTCTCAGATGTTTACCACTTCGGTGAAACCCACAAGCGCGGGTATGGTGCTGACAAACCTGGAAACATAATCGGGGTGAATCGGGATTCGAACCCACAATCATAGGTTTCTCTGCATGCACACTTCTTCGCGCGCCTTAGTTGACTGGGCCACCCGTGCCCCCCAAACGCCACATTAACGGTCAGCTATAATATTCAGAGAAAGAAGCTTAGCAAAACTGAACGATCGTGTCATTTATGTGAATTACCATTTATTGTACAGGAGGTGATTAATTCATGCTGCAGTGGGATATGATCTGGACAGTAAAGCAGTAGAATAATGTGCAATTATTTTTTTTCAGAATGTTTTCCGGTGTTGTGTTCATGCTCATTGACAGTTACAAATCAATATTATGAAACTTGTATACGGTGGAAATGTTGTAACTGACACAAAGAACCTTGAGACTATCGTTGTAACAACAAAACGTTCCTTTTACGGCAAATATGTTAAATGTTATTGTTTGTCCAGTGCACCTTTATGTTTAAGTTGACGACATAATTCATATATATATGTTCTGAACATATGTTCTGAACATAAACATGTTCATGAAAACTGTGGAATACAGTTGTTTTTGGTGCCATTAAGTAGTTACCTCTCCTTTTTCGCTCGTCAAAACGAGGCACCCCAGAACAGTTACGAGTGACAGACGATGGTACATTGTGCAATCTCTATGGTCCTGGACCCGTGAAGATCCGGGTTAGAATATCTCTTCAGCAACCCATGCTTCCCGTAAAAGGCGACTATGCTTGCCGTAAGAGGCGACTAAAGGGATCGGGTGGTCAGGCTCGCTGACTTGGTTTATGCATGTCATCGTATCATCGTATCGTGGATCGATGCTCATGATGTCAATCACTGGATTGTCTGGTCCAGACTCAATTATTTACAGACCGCCATCATACAGCTGGAATATTGCTGAGCGCGGCGTTGAACGGCAAACAAACAACAAACAAACTGTATGGTCCTGGCAGCAAACAGGAAACAATGGAATGGAAACACTCCGGGTCTCCCAAAACCTAGAAGTTTAAAGCAACCAGATCAAATGAAAAACGTGGCCATCTTCTTTGAGACAGGGATTATTACCATCGATTGTATATATAAATTATTACCACGGGCAACAACTATGAATGGTAAGTAATATGCCAACGTATTGTAAAGTATGTGTGTGGGGATGGGACAGGCGTCTTTGGCATCGCAATTTGCTGTGCTGAGTTGTGTCCCCTAGGCATGCGAGAAACTTGTGATGATGAATTCGAAATCCGGTTCGCCCTGATCATGTTTGTGGGTTTTTCATTACTATACCCGTACTCGTGGGTTTCACAAACGTGGTAAACGTAACACTTACATGCTTCACTCCACCGAAAGTCTCCGTGATATCATTGGAATACTGTTCAAAGCGGCGTTAAACCTCACTCATTCACTCACTCTACCAAAAGTCGCCGTGATATAATTGGAATATTGTTCAAAGCGGCGTTAAACCTCACCCATTCACTCACTCCACCAAATGTCGCCGTGATATAATTGGAAATAGTGTTCAAAGCGGCTTTAAACCTCTCATTCACTCGTTCTACCAAAAGTCGCCGTGATATAATTGGAATAGTGTTCAAAGCGGCGTTAAACCTCACTCATTCACTCACTCTTTCAAAAGTCGCCGTGATATAATTGGAATAGTGTTCAAAGCGGCGTTAAACCTCTCATTCACTCACTCTACCAAAAGTCGCCGTGATATAATTGGAATAGTGTTCAAAGCGGCGTTAAACTTCACTCATTCACTCACTCTACCAAAAGTCGCCGCGATATAATTGGAATAGTGTTCAAAGCGGCGTTAAACCTCACTCATTCACTCACTCTACCCAAAGTCGCCGTGATATAATTGGAATACTGTTCAAAGCGGCGTTAAACCTCACTCATTCACTCACTCTACCAAAAGTCGTGATATAATTGGAATACTGTTCAAAGCGGCTTTAAACCTCAATCACTCATTCACCCACTCTACAAAAGTCTCCTAGCCCGGGCTTCTTCGTTCATTTAAGTAGATTTCGCTTCTTTGTTTGTTTGTTTGTTATACTGCCTATACAAAAAGTGCTTCATTTACGATTTCTCATCGTTACGAATATTTCCGTCAAACCAAAAAGAAGACTGCACGGGAAATCAGACATAATATTTCTTAAACGATTCGGCTTCAATACTTTCTGAGTTTTGTCAGCACGATGCGTTAACGGTAGCGGGATCTGCTGATTTCTTTAACACTTGTATTCCCGTTTCGGAAAGTACGGTCTGAAGTAAAGAAAACCAACACAACATACAAATGTCCCATCATAGTGCACCCTTCTGTGTGAAGATACCACAGTGATAACAATAGATATGGTGTAAAATATCAACACAGCGCAGCCATTATCATTCGGAACTTCCCAAATACGTTCGTTTACGAGATATAGAATCATATGTGTTTCTCCGAGCATTTCGAATAAGTTGAATTGTTGACGAAATTGGTTGACCTGACGTCCAGCGGCTGGTTCGACACATCTAGACGGTATGAGGTATGCGATTTTATTGAGCCTGCAATGACGAATAGTGACGTGTTGATGAATGATTCTCTTGAATACATTAGCCATTTACCTGAATAATTTGCATGTACACTTTTGTTAGACGGTTTCGTATGAGAGACAGTACAGCTGTATAGAAATAAGTGAAGTGAATGGTGTTTAACGCCGCATTCATAAACTTTCCAACTTGTAACAGGACGCTCGTTAAGATTCTCGAGTCTGGACCGTGCAAACCGGTGACTAAAAGCATGAGCACGACGTTGGCGTGTACGTTGGCACGCTATCAGCCAAGTCACAGAGTCCGAACAGCGTAAGCCGAATGTTGCAGAAAAGCCGAGACAGATGCAGGTCTTGAACGTTTACCACTTTAATGAGTGAGTGAGTGAGTGAGGTTTTACGCCGCTTTTAGAAATATTCCAGCAATATCACGGCGGGGGACACCAGAAATGGGCTTCACGCATTGTACCCATGTCGGGAATCGAACCCGGGTCTTCGGCGTGACGAGCTAACGCTTTAACCACTAGGCTACCCGACCGCCCCCACCACTTTAATGTAAACCCATGGGTATAGTGCAGACACCAAGAACCATAATCGGGCGAATTTGGGTTCGAACCACCAATAACAGGATCCTGGCATGCTTTGGGGCAATACCATGTGCAGCAAATTCGTCACTTTAAGTTTAGACGACTCAACCACCCATTCTCACCACCCCCTCAAATAGAAAAAATAAGAAAAAGCGTATATTAGACACAATACGGTAAGAAACCAAATCTCTTCTGATCTCGCCAATTCGCGACCTCTGATCTGTACCGTTAGCGCCGTGTGGTGAGCCGACTCACTCACTTGCCCTATCTTATAGCCTACTCCATCATGTATTGGAGACGCCCCCAGTGGTAGAGTCCTTGTAGCGTCTCCTATCTGTACTGATTAGGTCAAAATACTGGACTAAGAGACGGGGTTATCTGTTGTTGTGGTGATCAATCGTCTTGGATTGTTTCAGTCTGTGTTGTTCTGTGTTTGATCACAATACTGAATTATATAACTGGCTGTTGGTGTTCGTTTGGAGAGACGATGCAGGGCCAATCAGCGGCATGTAACCAGAAATGTGGTTATTTGGAGGTCAAACAGTCTGCTAAAGTGAGAAATAGGAAACTGAAGGTGAGATTTTATGGATTTCTTTTCTAATGCACACACTACTTATGAAGAAGTTAGCCTAGTGGTTAAAGCGGTCGCTTGTTACGCCAAAGGCACAGGTTCGATTTCCGAAGTGGGTACAATTTTTAAAGCCCATTTTTTATGTCTAATTGTTTATGTCTACTTAGGTAATTTATGGTCATTTGAAGGCGCCAATGACGTTAGTCTACTCAGTGTTACTGTAAATAACGGTGTTCAGTGTGCGTGTGGGTGATGTATCGGTGTTCAGTGTGCGTGTGGGTGATGTATCAGTGTTCAGTGTGCGTGTGGGTGATGTATCAGTGTTCAGTGTGCGTGTGAGTGATGTATCAGTGTTCAGTGTGCGTGTGGGTGATGTATCAGTGTTCAGTGTGCGTGTGGGTGATGTATCAGTGTTCAGTGTGTGTGTGGGTGGTGTATCAGTGTTTAGTGTGCGTGTGGGTGATGTATCAGTGTTCAGTGTGTGTGTGGGTGGTGTATCAGTGTTCAGTGTGTGTGTGGGTGATGTATCAGTGTTCAGTGTGTGTGTGGGTGATGTATCAGTGTTCAGTGTGTGTGTGGGTGATGTATCAGTGTTTAGTGTGCGTGTGGGTGATGTATCGGTGTTCAGTGTGTGTGTGGGTGGTGTATCGGTGTTCAGTGTGCGTGTGGGTGGTGTATCGGTGTTCAGTGTGTGTGTGTGGTGTATCGGTGTTCAGTGTGTGTGTGGGTGATGTATCAGTGTTCTGTGTGTGTGTGGGTGGTGTATCGGTGTTCAGTGTGTGTGTGGGTGGTGTATCGGTGTTCAGTGTGTGTGTGGGTGATGTATCAGTGTTCAGTGTGCGTGTGGGTGGTGTATCGGTGTTCAGTGTGTGTGTGGGTGGTGTATCGGTGTTCAGTGTGTGTGTGGGTGATGTATCAGTGTTCAGTGTGTGTGTGGGTGATGTATCGGTGTTTAGTGTGTGTGTGGGTGATGTATCGGTGTTTAGTGTGTGTGTGGGTGATGTATCGGTGTTCAGTGTGTGTGTGGGTGATGTATCAGTGTTTAGTGTGCGTGTGGGTGGTGTATCAGTGTTCAGTGTGTGTGTGGGTGGTGTATCGGTGTTCAGTGTGTGTGTGGGTGATGTATCGGTGTTCAGTGTGTGTGTGGGTGATGTATCAGTGTTTAGTGTGCGTGTGGGTGGTGTATCAGTGTTCAGTGTGTGTGTGGGTGATGTATCAGTGTTTAGTGTGCGTGTGGGTGGTGTATCAGTGTTCAGTGTGTGTGTGGGTGATGTATCGGTGTTCAGTGTGTGTGTGGGTGATGTATCAGTGTTCAGTGTGCGTGTGGGTTGTGTATCGGTGTTCAGTGTGTGTGTGGGTGGTGTATCGGTGTTCAGTGTGTGTGTGGGTGATGTATCGGTGTTCAGTGTGTGTGTGGGTGATGTATCGGTGTTCAGTGTGTGTGTGGCTGATGTATCGGTGTTCAGTGTGTGTGTGGGTGATGTATCAGTGTTCAGTGTGCGTGTGGGTTGTGTATCGGTGTTCAGTGTGTGTGTGGGTGATGTATCGGTGTTCAGTGTGTGTGTGGGTGATGTATCGGTGTTCAGTGTGCGTGTGGGTGATGTATCAGTGTTCAGTGTGTGTGTGGGTGGTGTATCGGTGTTCAGTGTGTGTGTGGGTGATGTATCGGTGTTCAGTGTGTGTGTGGGTGGTGTATCGGTGTTCAGTGTGTGTGTGGGTGATGTATTGGTGTTCAGTGTGTGTGTGGCTGATGTATCAGTTTTCAGTGTGCGTGTGGGTGATGTATCAGTGTTCAGTGTGCGTGTGGGTGATGTATCGGTGTTCAGTGTGTGTGTGGGTGATGTATCGGTGTTCAGTGTGCGTGTGGGTGATGTATCAGTGTTCAGTGTGCGTGTGGGTGATGTATTGGTGTTCAGTGTGTGTGTGGCTGATGTATCAGTTTTCAGTGTGCGTGTGGGTGATGTATCAGTTTTCAGTGTGCGTGTGGGTGATGTATCGGTGTTCAGTGTGTGTGTGGGTGATGTATCGGTGTTCAGTGTGCGTGTGGGTGATGTATCAGTGTTCAGTGTGTGTGTGGGTGGTGTATCGGTGTTCAGTGTGTGTGTGGGTGATGTATCAGTGTTCAGTGTGCGTGTGGGTGGTGGGCAGTTTAACATGAATACCCCACTCAGACACAGTATACTGACTCCGAGCCGACCAGTCCTTTATGCCGGCCGCCAGACAGGTTAACAACAAGTATCGTTTAACGTCTTTTGGTATGACTCGGCCGGGGATCGAACAACAGACCTTCCGCTCTCCCGGCGGATGCTCTACCTTTATACCACGGAGGCGGTATGATGTTTTGGGATGTTACCGTTTGCTTTTTACATCCTCTATGCATTTTCATCTCGTGCTATCATACAAAAGCCTATTTTATACACAATTCACAAAACGTCCCTTTCACAAAATACACAGAGTTTATGAAAGTCAAATGACGTTGGGGATGTTTGGATTGAATTCAGTTTCCTTTAGCCAAACTATTAAAACCTATTCACAATCTCAATATGTATAGTTTCTTTTGACTGGCAGTATAGGTTTGTGAAGATTTGCACTAAGCTGGTCGATAGTGTAATGCCCTTGTGAGAATATCCAGGTATTGTCACGATGTAGTGAACTATGAACAAGCACGGAGATGGTAATAATCGATTTGGGGATACTGTCATCATTTTTCCAGGTGGTCAACCATCCATGTATCGTCAACACAGTATAACAATGGTGTCATTTCCCAATATAGTCTCTTACGATATGCGGGAGACGGGGACTGTTCTATAATGGATTCCACTCAGATTAAATCAATAAGCACTTAAATCCCTCATTGTATATTTGTCTATAATGCAGACAATCTTCTTGCATCCATTCGCTTAGTATTTTATATGGATTCGGTAACTTGCTAACTATCTAACAAATGAAGAAAGGAGTCTGTGTTGACAAATTAAATTGGTTTCATACAGCGATGGTTTATCAAAACTATTTAGTTTGACATGATCTGAAATATTAAGTCAGCTGACTCAGTAGATCATTATTTGGACGGAAATGACACAAAGTATATTCCTAATAGGTTGGAATAGTCTCAATTAAAGCTATCTACATACTCCACAGAATATAGTCACAACAGGCTATTACGTTTGTTTGTAAATCAATATATGAACTGCCATATCTGCTGCTGCGCGTTCTTCAACACTTGCTGCTATATTGGAACGGGTCATTACAGGGCTGGTTGACTGGTTGTTGTTTTACGGCGCACTCAGCAATATCCCAGCTATATGACGGCGGTCTGTAAATAATCAAATCTGAACCAGACAATCCAGTGATTGATATCATGAGCATCGATCCACGCAATTGGGATCAATGACATGCATCAACCAAGTCAGCGAGCCTGACCACCCGATCCCGTTAGTCGCCTCTTACGACAAGCATAGCCGCCTTTTACGGCAGGCATGGGTTGCATGCGCACAAATTATATTTAATAAAAAGGACGAGAACGCGAGATGGCGACATTGGTCAAGTGTCGCGATCTCGCGTTCTCGTGCTTTTTTGCCAGTTGTCTTTACACTTATATGTAACTATTTTCAAAAACACGAGAACGCGAGATTGCGACATTGGTCAAGTGTCGCAATCTCGCGCTTTTGTGGTAATTGCCTATACAGTTATATGTAACTATTTTCAAAAACACGAGAACGCGAGATTGCGACATTGGTCAAGTGTCGCAATCTCGCGTTCTCGTGCTTTTTTGCAAATTGTCTATGCAGTTATACGTAACTATTTTCAAAAACACGATATTGCGAGAACGCGAGATTGCGAGATTGGTCAAGTGTGGCGATCTCTCGTTCTCGTCCTTTTGTGCTAATTGCCTTTACACTTATATGTAACTATTTTCAAAAACATGCGATGTCGCGTTTTTCTGCCAATTACCCATACAGTCATCTTGTGGCTCATTCGTCGAGTTGTCGTAATTCGTTGTGTAGAGTTGCGTCCCTTGGATGTGCCAGAAACCTACAATGGTAGGTTTCCTCCCACTTTAAAGGGGCACTGATCTACAGCAATGCCCCGAGACTGGTTGTTGCCTTTGTCATTGTTTTTCCCCCGTGAGTATCCGGATGATATAGCAGAAATCTAGACTAGTTCGCGACCTGTGCTGCGCCATTCGTAAGCGCATGTATCGATATTTTATTGATAATATTTCATTGTTGGGTATATTGTTTAGCCAAAATGTATAAAGTTTCACTAAGGCAATTTTTTAAACGGCTAAATATTCAGTTATTCTACAAATTGTCCATTTATGTTATTGTTATTACGAATTCCAAACCTTGTTATGTTTTAATTTGATCACCCAGTGACTGAAAATGATAGGATTAAAAGAAAACGAAATTCAAAGTACATTTCTATAGTTTTGGCTTCTAAAACTAGAGGGGCGGTCAGGTAGCCTAGTGGTTATTGCTAGAATATTGCTAAAAGCGGGGTAAAACACACTCACTCTAATACTAGGATAAATAGTCCTCTTAAAAATTGTTAGTCAATCTGGACTTGGTTTCAGTCAATTTGTAAATTACCGAAATATTTAGACATTTTATAAATTGCCTGAGTGAATCACATTTTACACATTGAGTGAAACATATACACGCCTACAGGAACAAGAGGAACAAAAACTATTCTATCCAATGCAACAGCAAATGAATGAAAACAAAATGCACATATCATAATTACGACCCACCAAAGTTTTATGTATAAATTTGGGCAGCTTCCTAGTTCGAGGAATGTATCCGTGAATATTCACATATAGGAACAATATCCAATACGTCTGCAGCTGTACAAATAAACTTATTCGACGTCACGTGGCTCTGTTACAATTAAATATTTTAAAAAATATGTATAGCGTTAATGGATATTCTAACCCGTGTTCGTTTCTCAACTGATCACTAAGTTTGTTTCAGATGTTTCACAAAGGTGTCAAGTCTCATCGGTCAGCTAAGATAGCACATGTGACAATTATGTTCATGATGTCCATGGTTCTTTAAAAATATCCATGGAGTTAGAAAGCAATGAACAATCAATGAACGTATTATCGGCTAATCCTTTGAACCAAGTATGTTGTTTTTTCATCGGCACTTCGCGCCATGATATGAGTGTATTCCGTCTGCTTTAGTAAACCTAAACATGTAAACACTTACTTTTGACAAATCCACTGTGCAAGATAACAGTGATTAATCAATGAACGTATTTTCTGTGGGACTTTTGATGGCGAGGAATGATCCGTTAACAAAAAAGTAAATGAACTGATCACTCCTCTTGCTTGGCTGCCACGTGACACACACTTCTCCTCACTTCAAACATGGATTCAGATGAAATAATTACACCAGACACAAGACATGCCAAATGGGAACCTTTGTCAGGCAATCTGAGTGGTGCTACCACTAACTATACCTGTAATAGGTTCATTAACTGAGCTTTAAGTGAATGGCAACAAAGACACAGGTGTAGGGTTATGCCAGAAAACGTTTATGGCAACAAGAGATAGCAATCGTATTATCCGCGCAATCCAAAATCCGAAAATGATTTCACTGCTGGAATACCATTTTTTTAACTATTAAACTATGACCATCTGAGGTATTTCCAAATAACGACATCCGATGAGCTTCCATCGTTCTTTTTGTCCGTTTGTTAAGGCTGAAGAAATTAATTAACATGCGCCCTTTGTCTGAGATTCATAGATTACGGGTAACAAATCAGTGTTCTTGAAGACTGTAGCCCAGTCTCTTGTCACGCTCAGTTGCGTCAGCGAGCAAATCGGCAGATAGTGAACCCCAGCTGGCAGTGTTAGACAGTCGAGAAGAAGATTAGTGCCCCTTTAAACCGACTAGCCGGGATATAACTGAAATATAAATACTGTTCAAACCGGTGTTAAGCCAAACTCACTCACTTATTCAGAGCCATGCCGGTCCCTCAGGCTGGATATTTGGGGTACTTTTCCAGTATAAGCATGCCTGTCATTTGGATGTTAAGGCCGCAATAAATTAATAGTTACAGTTTGATGGATTTTTTAAAACCATGGGAGACGGGAGGCATTTTATTTTCAACGTTTTATTTTGTTCTTATCGACCTACTTAAGGCATATGTGTACAATTGCTGTCGACGGGTGCTATTCACATGCATCATGTGTGTTCAGTAGGTCTACGTGTACGGAGTATTTCATAAGGTAAAGAAAGTAGGAACACTCATATTAACAATACTTCCTTTTCTAGGAATTTGAGGGCATTAGAATAATGTAAGGCAGGATGTTTTGTTGTCAGGCGTGAGCGGATGAAAATCTATTAATTAGAGTAGCGAATATGGTATCGTATAAAAAAAACCATCGGACAATATCATTTTAGCCGAATGCTACATATTGGTCTGTGAGAATTTTATTTTAATGAATATTCTAGACGTGTATAAAATTGCCTCATTGAGAAACTCACTGGCCTGTGACTATTTCTGTAACTGACAGATGCGGCTTTAAGCAATATTACTCACTCACTCACTGACGGTGAAAGTTTTGTTTCCAGCTTTAAGACACATTAATGTTTTCACTATCATTGGCCATTCATGTACAGAATTTCTTTTGATAATTTATATTGAACATGTTGAGGGTTTTAATATAGAGTACATAGGAAGCTGTCACAACAGGAGAGGACTCTACTCTATTCCACATAGGACTTCGTGTTTGTAAATTACAAAGCATTTTCAAGCTCAAGTCATAATTTTGCTAAATGCTATTTGGAGAATGAAGAGCATGAAAGAAGCATGACCAAAGGACTACTACCGTGCGCATGCGCCTTGACCTATGATATTACGCATGCGCACGGACAGCGTCTAAAACGCGAGATCGCGAGAAAATGAAATGTCGCATTCTCGCGTTCTCGCGATTTCGTGTTTTTTTGGCCTAAATTGACAAGTCGAGATTGCGAGATTTTGCTTCATGTCCAAATGTCGCATTCTCGCGTTGTCGACTTTTGACAAAAAGTGCCATGTACCAAAAAACACGAAAATGCGAGATCGCGAGAACGCGAGATTTTGGCCAAAATCTCGCATTTTCGTGTTTGGGGCATATTTAGCTCGTTTCCAAAGGTCGAGATCGCGAGATCGCGAGATCGCGAGAATGTCCCTTACTGTATTCCACAGGAAGGCAAAACACTTAAGGCCCAAAACACAACTATGATACCCGTATCAAATACATCACGATCGAATAGCCATTTCTTGTATCTTCAGTTTTAACCACCATTAACCATGACTTACTTGAGTTATTCCTGTGTATGTACCCCTGAAGGGGCATAGGACCTTCAAAACAGTTCTCCATCTCTTTCGGACTTGTGCTCTTCGTTTTGCTTCTCCCCATGACATGTGGATTGATCTCAGTTCTGATGCCAGGGCTCGTCGCCAGGATGTTACGGGTCTTCCCCTCGTTCTCTTGCCTTATGGGTTCCAGTCGAGTGCTTGTTTCGCGATGTTTCCTTGCGGCCTTCTTAGGATGTGACCTATCCACCGCCATTTCCTTTTATTGATGGTATCTATTATTGGAGCTTGGTTTGTTCTGTTCCAAAGATCCTGGTTTGATATTTTCTCATGCCATTTTTAGCAGTTGTCTGAGGCATTTGCTGATGAAGACTTGGAGGTCGTGTTCTGTCTTTGGATTTTAACTAGCGGTAAGCGCCATGCAGCTACAGCTGATGTTACCTCCCTTGCATAGCGCATGGCAAACCACGTTGGCTTAAAAAAATCACAATCTGGTTCTCAGAGTGATGTTGAGTATTAAACATAGATGCACACTTTCTTTTGCCCGGCATTTTATTTGCATTGATGTTGACATCGGCGTCAGTTCAAGGTTACATTGAAGCGAAGCGTCCTGAGTATGGCTAGCTCTTACAGTTGCAGTACAGTGGACATTCATAAACATATTCTCTCCTACTGACGACGGTATTTACTTCGTCCAAATTTGGTGGCCGTGTGCTATTTCGATTGGGATAACTTTCTCTGCGATCGCTCAAAACCCTATCTATGCAGATTATAATCTCACGTTCTTGGTGCAGTACGATCGTGGACGATGAAACACTCTTTCAGAAGGAATGTCATTGCATGTTGCTAGTACTTGTTTAGATTACTGTTAGTTTCAGAACTCAATTTCTTGAATCAAACGAAAACAAATCATTCGTAAATGTTGTATATTTGTTTTCTCCTTCCAAACCTCTGTGATGTGAACGTAAAATCACTATGAATTCCTGAATGCAATCGGCGACTGCATTGATCTCTTTGCTGAAATACCCTGGAGATTGGATTTCGCTGGTGATGTTTACATGTACGTATGAAGAGGGGTGTTTGTTGGAAAATTCATTATTTATTCAGGAATTTATGTTTTAAGGCAAATCACATCCCAAGAGAATACTCGAATCAAGATAGTTCATGCTGTTAAATTGTGGACATAACACAATAAATATATAAAGTTTTAACTCATTTTGTATTGAATACAGCCATAGCATGATCCAATCGCGAAGTTAGCGATATAAGAATTTTCATTTCCGTTTGTCGACAAAGATCGTGAAACATTGATACTGGACTACAATACGATATATCTTGATGATCAAATAGCCGCAACCTGTTGTTTGTTTGTTTGTTGTTTAGCGCCGCACTCAGTAATATTCCAGCTATATGACGGCGGTCTGAAAATACTGGACCAGACAATCCAGTGATTGACATCATGAACATTAATCTACGCCATATGCATACGATAACATACATAAAGCAAGTCAGCGAGCCTTGACCACCCGATCCCGTCAGTCGCTTTTTATGACACGCATAGTCGTCATTTATGGCAAGCATGGGTTGCTGAAGACCTATTCTACCCCGGATCTTCACGGGTCGTCACCTCTTACGGCAATCATGGGTTGCTAAGACCTGTTCTACCCCGGATCTTCACGGGCCTGAACAAATGGTAACTCTGTACTGCTGTACCCGACTCTGATACATAAATAAGACTCAGTAACGCCCTCTGACAGTTCCTGTATTTGACCCGGCCTGTACAGACACTGACAAAGTCGACCTTGAAGAATATCATGGACAGTGTAATACCCCTAATTTCTCGGGCCATTATCGTCTGAATACACAACACTTGAATTGAAAACCTTTTGTTATAAACGGGAAACTACGGATGAGTCAAACCTTGTCCTGCCGCCGTATTCTTAAATAAGCACACATTTCCCGGATCTTCAGTTCGTTCACAGGCAGTTCATATGTCTCTTCCCCCATTCTATTCCTTCACCACTATTTTCGACCCTCTTCCCGAGGCAAGGGCGTTAACTGACAATAAAAGTCCAGTTTACATATAGTCCCTCACCTCGGGAAGATGTTTTCGACCGACTCTGAACGGTATAATGAAGGGGCTGTTTGGATTGTGTTCTCCGATCATGAGAACATCATAATATTACTGATTCTGCAGCTAGAGGTTGATGCTCTGCAACACTATCACCTCCTTGATACGTGTTTGCTGGGAATAACTATCAGCTCTGTCTCCCGGATGTGGACACCTATGCTCATGGCGCCAAGCCTTGTAAGAATATACCACCTTTGCAATGCATAGGGCATGTGCTGTGAACCCCAATACCTGAAAAGCAACCACAATAGTATAGTATGATTAACAGGCAATGAGTATTGTAAGATACAAAGATCCAGAAATACCGCTCACGAGATGTAAACCTGGAATACGAGAGCAAGGCTGTTTGAAAGACTACTGTCGCCATTTTTAGCTAGAATGAATTTTTAAAATTTAATCGAAATTTCTCGTTATTTCAATAGTTTTCTCGAAATTTCGAGTTCTTTCTCGTTACTTCGAATATTTTCTCGTTATTTCAAGTTTATCTCCAAAACTCGAAATTTCGAATTTTTTCTTGTTGCTTCGATTATTTTCTCGTTATTTCGATAAATTTTGCGTTGCTTCGACCTTTTCTCATTACTTCGATTTTTTTTCTCGTTATTTTAAGTATTTTCTCGAAATATCGAGTTTTTGAAACAAACTTCAAATAACGAAAAAAAATTGAAATTTCGAGAAAATAAACAAATAATTGAAATAACGAGAAAGTTCGATTAATATATATTACCAAAGTGGCACCTTTGGGCTTTCGTAAGGTTGCAAGGTCAATTTAGTTATTGTAAAGATGGAAAGTTGAAATGTCAAACGACGCGAGACCCCTAATGACCTCGGTCATGTTTTGGGCAAGTGTCTTCAGATATGAACGTACCGTGGCTGCGTCAATCTCGGACTGGCCACATACGTCGAGTGCCACCATGACTGACGCAATGAAGTACAAGACAGACCACACAGAGTACCATATCATGTCCTGGAAACATAGCCACACAATAGTAGTATCAACAGTAATGATTTAACAGTTTGAAACACGTAAATATATTCCAAACACTGGGAAATGATAGACGTTGGGGTAATAATATTCCCAAATAAGTCTCCGAGGAAGGACATTGTTTATAGATTGACATATCTGGACATTTTGCTTGGTTGATGGTACTGTCTTTGTCATAATATTATCATGGAATATCAGTTATTACAAATTCTAAATATTATACTTTATTATTCATATTTTAGTATGCCTCGTACGAATACTTGGTTTGTCTATGTATGTGATTGTGACCGGCGCCACCGGCGGGGTCAGATACGCTCACTTTTTCGCGAACACCTGGTGTCATCGCTATTTGATATTGATTCATAAAACATTGCTCACGATAGGTCGGAATGGTCCCATTGTCTCTGCTTTAAGCAGATTCTTTTTTGATCATGGATAATTTATTTTAGATTATTATAGGTTCTATCTTATGATGCATGTATTTATCTCTGCAAGCACAAATGCTGCGATAACATTCCCCATTCTCCAACATCAAACGCCACTATTATAAATAGGCCTTTATGAAATGTATATTTTATTTATTAAACCTACAGATTCTAGATTCATAAATGTTACTTTCCTAAATAGCTCCAGTATTTATTGTTTATCACAACTATGGAAAGGTTTGTCGCTTCAATCAGTATATAGATCTAACTTTCACATCGTATACAAGCCAGTTTAAGCCAAGTGGTTTATTTAGCAGCAACTTATTCTCTGTTATTGATAAAATTAAAGGCATCTCTCCCGTTTGTATTCGTCTTATGACCGTCTATGGGGGTTCCGGTAAAACGTGGGGCTCGCATGACGCGTACCCTATACGCTGTCTACAGTTTGAGGCAGGACTGGCTGAATCAGCACACAAAACACGTTAGTGAACGGAGGACAAATTGAAAAGGATAGCCGATTCGACTTTCAAACCCAACCGGAACATTATGCTGGTAGAATTGTACGCACTTTCACCTTACAGGGAACAAACTTGAATCGTATATTTTGGTGAATTACGATGGAGGAGAAGACGTAGCTGATGAGCCCGGTGATGAACACTGAACCGGATACAAATTCATAGAAGCCATAGCCAGTCCCACAGTCTCTGGAGATAACACCATTGAGAGCAAACACCCAACCAACCAGCGACACAACCTGCAAACAATATATTTGGAATGAAGAGACTCGTTACAAGACTTCAAAAGGAAGTTTCGAAGCAATGAAATGCGGCTAAGGAGGTCGGTGGTTGATGTATTTGCTTTGTATATAACAGTGCAGGCTTGGAGAGCATTCCCTTCACTGATCGACTTAAAGGTCATTTTTGGATGTGTTCCCCCAACGTGTAAGACCATGTTATGTACAAGATGTCACCAGGATATCTTTCAAACTAACTTGTTACAGACTTGCATAGTTAAAGGCAAGCGCAGTCTCCGTTTAATTCAGATTTTTTTTACATTCAAATAACTAATAAAAACACGGAATTTGAGACGGTGTATTGAATTTTTTCAAAAACATTACAAGAAACTTAAAACTTACGGACCAATGGTACGTTCCTAATGTAACGTTACCTTCATTTGCATAAGATCTGGATACTTCGAGGATGGATCTTGAAGGGCTGGGATCCGGAGTAAGGTTGCGACCTTGGATTAAGGTGTGGGACATTGGAGTAGGAAATAGAGGTTTGGATAAGGGTGTGGGACATTGGAGTAGGGAATAGAGGCTTGGATAAGGGGATGGGACATTGGAGTAGGGAATAGAGGTTTGGATAAGGGTGTGGGGAATTGAAGTAGGGAATAGAGGTTTGGATAAGGGTGTGGGGAATTGGAGTAGGGAATCGAGGCTTGGATAAGGGTGTGGGGCATTGAAGTAGGGAATAGAGGCTTGGATTAAGTTGTTTGGCATTGGAGTAGGGAATAAAGGCTTGGATAAGGGTGTGGGACATTGGAGTAGGGAATAGAGGTTTGGATAAGGGTGTGGGACATTGGAGTAGGCAATAGAGGTTTGGATAAGGGTGTGGGACATTGGGGTAGGGAATAGTGGCTTGGATAAGGGTGTGGGACATTGGAGTAGGGAATAAAGGCTTGGATAAGGGTGTGGGACATTGGAGTAGGGAATAGAGGCTTGGATTAATGTGTGGGACATTGAAGTAGGGAATAGAGGTTTGGATAAGGGTGTGGGACATTGGAGTAGGGAATAGAGGCTTGGATAAGGGTGTGGGACATTGGGGTAGGGAATAGAGGCTTGGATTAATGTGTGGGACATTGAAGTAGGGAATAGAGGTTTGGATAAGATAGTGGGACATTGAAGTAGGGAATAGAGGTTTGGATAAGGGTGTGGGACATTGGAGTAGGGAATAGAGGTTTGAATAAGGGTGTGGGGCATTGGAGTAGGGAATAGAGGTTTGGATAAGGGTGTGGGACATTGGAGTAGGGAATAGAGGTTTGAATAAGGGTGGTGGGACATTGGAGTAGGGAATAGAGGTTTGGATAAGGGTGTGGGACATTGGGGTAGGGAATAGAGGCTTGGATAAGGGTGTGGGACATTGGGGTAGGGAATAGAGGCTTGGATAAGGGTGTGGGACATTGGGGTAGGGAATAGAGGCTTGGATAAGGGTGTGGGACATTGGAGTAGGGAATAGAGGTTTGGATAAGGGTGTGGGACATTGGAGTAGGGAATAGAGGCTTGGATAAGGGTGTGGGACATTGGGGTAGGGAATAGAGGTTTGGATAAGGGTGTGGGACATTGGAGTAGGGAATAGAGGCTTGGATTAATGTGTGGGACATTGGAGTAGGGAATAGAGGTTTGGATAAGGGTGTGGGACATTGGAGTAGGGAATAGAGGTTTGGATAAGGGTGTGGGACATTGGAGTAGGGAATAGAGGCTTGGATAAGGGTGTGGGACATTTGAGTAGGGAATAGAGGCTTGGATTAATGTGTGGGACATTGGAGTAGGGAATAGAGGTTTGGATAAGGGTGTGGGACATTGGAGTAGGGAATAGAGGTTTGGATAAGGGTGTGGGACATTGGAGTAGGGAATAGAGGCTTGGATTAATGTGTGGGACATTGGAGTAGGGAATAGAGGTTTGGATTAATGTGTGGGACATTGGAGTAGGGAATAGAGGCTTGGATAAGGGTGTGGGACATTGGAGTAGGGAATAGAGGCTTGGATTAATGTGTGGGACATTGGAGTAGGGAATAGAGGCTTAGATTAATGTGTGGGACATTGGAGTAGGGAATAGATGCTTGGATAAGGGTGTGGGACATTGGGGTAGGGAATAGAGGCTTGGATTAATGTGTGGGACATTGGAGTAGGGAATAGATGCTTGGATAAGGGTGTGGGACATTGGGGTAGGGAATAGAGGCTTGGATTAATGTGTGGGACATTGGGGTAGGGAATAGAGGCTTGGATTAGGGTGTGGGACATTGGGGTAGGGAATAGAGGCTTGGATTAATGTGTGGGACATTGGAGTAGGGAATAGATCCTTGGATAAGGGTGTCGGACATTGGGGTAGGGAATAGAGGCTTGGATTAATGTGTGGGACTTTGGAGTAGGGAATATAGGTTTGGATAAGGGTGTGGGACATTGGGGTAGGGAATAGAGGCTTGGATTAATGTGTGGGACATTGGGGTAGGGAATAGAGGTTTGGATAAGGGTGTGGGACATTGGGGTAGGGAATAGAGGCTTGGATAAGGGTGTGGGACATTGGGGTAGGGAACAGATGCTTGGATTAGGGTGTGGGGCATTGGTAAAGGGTACGACCATGGAATAGGGGATGGACCTTTGATTACGGGTTTTGGTTCTTGCAGTAGAGGATAGGAACTTTTGGTTTTGCTTTGGGACCTACGAGTAGGGGGTAGGTAGTTGGGATTTTGGGGTGTGGCATGGCGTTGGCGTAAGGGGTGGGGCCTTGGAGTAGGGGGTGGTACTTTGGAGTAGGTAATGACTCTTTGGGGTAGCTGATAGGCCTTTCGGGTAGATGATGAGTTTTAGATGATACACAATTACAAGTAGACGTATCGTCATAATGTTTTACCGTTAAAGCAGCATTAAGGATGCCGTGTATACTCTTGCAGTAAGTGACATCTATGTATATACCCCACTTCAAGTGATACATCTCTCTTCCTGGGATGTCGATATTTGGTCTCGTTTCCTGGTCGTTAGCTGAGATAGGTCTGCAATGTAGAGGTTTTACGTACGTTTGTGAATCGAGAATTTGAAGAAAGTCATAGAAAGATGCAATAGTAATGATGTCTGTGGACCGGTAGTAATTATGGGATGCCTTATACAGTAATCTACGTTTATAACGAACACGCTTATAACGAACTGCCGGATATAACGAACTGGGTTTTTATGGTCCCGCCCATTTGCTGTATATATGCTGTAAATATGATTATAACGAACTTCGATATTAGTTGGCTCTTTGAGTTCGTTAAAACCGTAGTTTACGGTATTCTACAGAAAACGACAATTGTTTCAGCAACAATAAAACAACAGATACAATCGGAACATGTCTGTATGAAGTCAAAACAAATTCGCTGGTCAGCTAAACAAAAATAAGGAAACAATGACAAGGATAAGTAACTATAAAATCACAGTCGTCCAGCTTGGATATAAGCATCTGGAACAAGCGCTCAACATCAGATCGAAAACTTGGACTAAGCAGATCTAGAAACTTACCAGTGCACATCTGGTGTTTGCACACACCCAAAGTATTAAGCAATGAATTACTTTTGACAAAAAGTCAATAGCACTAATGCTATTAAGAATTTGTAGTTTTCATAAATAATGAATAATATAATTTAATATCATATTTCAGAGAGATCTTTGTCTACGTTGAACAGATAGTTATGGCATGGTATAGACACTAGTATATAATCCACGATACTGTGACAAGATGGGTGACGTCAACTTTCCCTTCATGTGGAGCATTATTCCAGCAGCTCCAGCCTTTGGTGTTTACATTTCACAACTTTGGAGGTACAAGCGAGCATTCTCTTTCTAAAGATTTCAAACAGCGTCATACAGCTCTTGCTCAGACATGTGATCACGTTACAACATGCAAGGCCTTAGTAAAGCTATAAAAAAAAAACATTTGTGGAGGACATTATCTAATCCGACGGATCAGTGGCAAAAATGATGTCCAATGTAGTTCCTTATTTTGACTTGAACCATATGGTCCATGTTGGTTCAAGCCTTAAAGGGGAAGTGTACACGCAAAAATCACTTTCTTTCTTTTTCTAAACAAAACGCAATTTTAGAATTAGTTAGTATCTGTGTTTGAAAATATACACTCATATTTTTCACAGTGAAAGTAGGAAGCTCACAATTGTGTGAAAATGATATGCCGTTATGAGGCCTTCGTTTTTCGAGCTAAACAGGCCTGAGTTATCCCCCTTAGATTATGACGTAATTGGTGCCAATTCAACTGGGTCCCTGTCTATTCTGAACGCAAAAGATATCAAGTACAAGTTTGCGGTAAAACAACATGGCCTACGACACACTCCGGCGCAGTGGTGACTCAGCATAACACTATGCTGGCTGGCATCTGAGACGCTAGAATCACACACCTATACCTACACCACGTGAAGCGGCTCTAACAAAGCATGATGACGTCATAATGTTTATCAATTGGCACCAATGACGTCATATTGCAAGGGGCATAAGCCATGGTGTTTTTGTTATGGAAATAGAACACTTGGTAAATGTGAAAAATATAAATCGTTTTAATGCAAAACATATGTTAATTAATTGAGATATTTTTATATTTTTGTCTATGACACTTCTAGGTTAACACTTTTATTGTGGAAAAAGTACAAGAAAATTAGGTTCATTTCCGTGTGAACTTGCCCTTTAAGTGATCAACTGACTTGCCTTTGCGTGTATTTTTGACGGGTGCCACCGAAGTGGCAAGACGCGTTCACCTTTTTGCGAACACCTGGTATCATCACAATTGGATATTGATTCATAAACACATACTCATGATATGGTCGGAATTGTACAATCGAGATTTCTTATGAATATGGAAAGGGTTTTGTCTCTTTTATTTTGATGTTGGAGAATGTGGAATGTTATTACATCATTTATGTTTGCAAAGATAAATACACGCTAAATACGATATAACAACGTGCTATAAAAGAGACCAAAATTTGTAAATAACCAAAAGAAATCTCTGCTATAAGCAGATTCCTATGAATGATTCCGACTATATTACAAAAGCGTTTATAAATCCCTATCAAAGAGTGATGAGACCGGGTTTTCGCGAAAAGGTAAGCATCCCCTGCCCCACCGTCGGAACCCGTCACAAATACATGGAAAAACAAGTCAAAAGGTGAGCGTATCCTGCCCCAACCGTTGAACCCATCACAAACATGTCACAATTATGTGTTTGTCTGAATTGATTACATGGTTTGTTCCAAAGGTAGGGTGGCACATACGTTGTCGGATAAGGCGCTCACAAATCGGTACACAGAGATCCAATAGTCGTCCAATAGATACAATACCCTTGCTTAAATCCTACGGACTGTGTCGTTTTCAGCTTTCATCCGGCGTTTAGACTCTCTCTCACTCACTCACTCACTCACTCACTCACCCACCCACCCACCCACCCACCCACTCACTCACTCACTCACTCACTCACTCACTCACTCATACGTTTTCATATTTCTGCATGCGACTATGTTAAAGCCAGGTCCATATGGTGCACGCGGCACACCTGTAGCAATCGATAGCCTTGATCAAGCGGATCAAGAAATATGAGAGTGTGAGTTTGCCTGTGCACATCTGGCACATGTCTCGCACAGCCAAAGCTTATAACAAACGATTAATTGTGACAGATACGCAATAAAGCTAGTGACATGGACCGCATGGATCTAGAACGTGGATGTCTTTTATGAAATGATAAGGTAATAGTTATTTCAGAGGGACCTTTATTAAAATGTTTACCTGTATCACTTCCAATCTTCCATATAAAGTTTACATTCCGTGACATAACTGAAAATACAGTTCACAGTGACGTTCAATCCAACCATCTCAGTCAGGTCATGGGTACATCATATTCCTCACATGCAGATATCGCGGCGTGTTTATGATATGTTGGTTAAACAAAACATTGCTGCTTTGCAGTTTCTCAATGTCATACAACCAAATGCTAGAATATATTTTGCTTTGTATGAATGAAAATATATATTTTTCTAATGTTTCTAATGAGCAATTTTATTTGGGACGATTAACAATGTTTCAGTTATATTTAGAGTATACCTTTTTACGAGAAAACAGAAAGTAACATGCATATATATGATAGCAGAGAAAGTCCTTCGTCAAATCGCCTTGGTATTGGTATGGACGATGCAGGGATGCTGTGAAACGATTTGATGAAACGATGGAGTGCTTTTTATGAATCGGTTGAGGATGCAACGAAATGGATGTACGGGGTAGGATGCGATGGAGGGGTAGCGTCATGAAACGATGTGATGGAAGGGTGACGTCATGACTCGATGTGGTGGGGGGTGACGTCATGACTCGATGTGATGGAGGGGTGACGTCATGACTCGATGTGATGGAGGGAAGACGTCATGACTCGATGTGATGGAGGGCTGACGTCATGACTCGATGTGATGGGGGTTGACGTCATGACTCGATGTGATGGAGGGGTGACGTCATGACTCGATGTGGTGGAGGGGTGACGTCATGAAACGATGTGATGGAGGTGTGACGTCATGAAACGATGTGATGGAGGGGAGACGTCATGACTCGATGTGATGGAGGGTTGGCGTCAAACGATGTGATAGAGGGGTGGCGTCATGACTCGATGTGATGGAGGTGTGACGTCATGACTCGATGTGATGGAGGAGTGACGTCATGACTCGATGTGATGGAGGGGTAGCGTCATGACTCGATGTGATGGAGGGGTAGCGTAATGAAACGATGTGATGGAGGGGTGACGTCATGACTCGATGTGATGGAGGGGTTACGTCATGACTCGATGTGATGGAGGGGTGGCGTCATGAAACGATGTGATGGAGGGGAGACGTCATGACTCGATGTGATGGAAGGGTGACGTCATGACGCGATGTGATGGAGGGGTGACGTCATGACTCGATGTGATAGAGGGGTGACGTCATGACTCGATGTGATGAAGGGGTGACGTCATGAAACGATGTGATGGAGGGGTGACGTCATGACTCGATGTGATGAAGGGGTGACGTCATGAAACGATGTGATGGAGGGGTGACGTCATGACTTGATGTGATGGAGGGGTGACGTCATGACTCGATGTGATGGAGGGGTAGCCTCATGAAACGATGTGATGGAGGGGTGACGTCATGACTCGATGCGATGGGGCAATGGAGCTATGCGGCGATGTGATGGAGCGATGATTCGATAAGGTTTAGCTCGGCCAACGAAGGCTTCATATCGGCATAACATTTTCACAGAACTATTTTTAGCCTCCCACTTTCAATGTTAGAAAATGAGTGTATATTTTCAAACATTGATATTAAGTAATTCTAAAATTGCGTTTTGTTTCATATAAGAAAAAATGTTATTTATGTGTGTACACTTTAATTGCTTTTGTGTTTGTTGTGCTTTCCAAGCGACAAAAAACGCAAACTTAATTTAAATTGTAACATGGGGTATAGTTCACTCTTGTCAAGGACAACATCTTCTTTTGCAATAGATATATTGGATAGTGAAATAATAACCTTTATCTCCACCAAATTTCAATCAGGTGCTGATAATATTTGTATTGAGCTTATAGTTCACAAACATTGAAGATGATAGCAAGGCACGGCGTGTATATTCTTTATGTTAAAATATCAAGTGAGCGATCGAAGGTGTTGCAATACGTTGTACTGCTTGATACATACGTAACTGGACTTATCGAGACTACATTGTCTCCAACAACCCTGGCTCTCTGGTAGCGGGCGATGATTACTGCAAACTGGACACATGTCCACACACGTGTTAGTTGCCATTTATAATGTCTGAACTATGTAGTAAATGTGTTACACCACTGCTACACCACAAAGCATCGTTACTACGAAGTAGGCAAGTCATTGACGTCACGAAGTTAACTGAATTTAACTAAGACCTTTACAAATATAAAAATATCAACGCTAGAGAAAAAAACAGTCGCTATTATCCGACGAAACAGGTTCCGCTGGGGGTAAAAGACAAAACAGGGGTAAACATTAAACGAATGGAACACTGAAAATCAGTAATGACACCAGGTGTTCGTAACGAATTATAAATTTAAACTCAGGGATAGTTCTAATAATAGGCCGCCCAATAGTTGCCGTGGAACAGTATGAATGACTGGACGTCCAATAATTGCCGTGGGTTAGTACTAGCATTTGGACATCCAGTAGTTGCCGTGGGTTAATACTAGCATTTGGACATCCAATAGTTGCCGTGGGTTAGTACTAGCATTTGGACGTCCAATAGTTGCCGTGGGTTAGTACTAGCATTTGGACATCCAATAGTTGCCGTGGGTTAGTACTAGCATTTGGACATCCAATAGTTGCCGTGGGTTAGTACTAGCATTTGGACATCCAATAGTTTCCGTGAGTAAGTACCAGCATTTGGACATCTAAGGGTTGCCGTGGGTTAGTACCAGTATTTGGACATCCAATAGTTGCCGTAGGAGAGCACCAGTATTTGAACGTCCAATAGTTGCCGTGAGATAGCACTTGTATATCAACGTCCAATTGCTGCCGTGAGATAGCACTGGTATTTGAACGTCCGATAGTTGCCGTGGGAGAGCACCAGTATTTGAACGTCTATTAGTTGCCGTGGGAGAGCACCAGTATTTGAACGTCTAATAGTTGCCGTTGGAGAGCACCAGTATTTCAACGTCCAATAGTTGCCGTGGGAAAGCACTTGTATTTGAACGTCCAATAGTTGCCGTGGGAAAGCTCTTGTATTTGAACGTCCAATAGTTTCCATGGGAAAGCACTTGTATTTAAACGCCCAATAGTTGCCGTGGGATAGCACCAGTATTTGAACGTCCAATAGCTGCCCTGGGATAGCACTAGTACAGTAAACTACGGTTATAACTAACTCAAAGGGACTACTCGTTTTAGTTCGTTATAACCGTAGTTCGTTAAAAGCATATATACAGCATAACTTCAGCAAATAGTCGGGACCAAAAAAGTAAGTTTGTTATATCCGTCAGATCGTTATAAGCGTGTTCGTTATAACCGTAGTTTACTGTATTTGAACGTCCAACAGGTTCCGTGGGATAGCACTTATATTTGAACGTCCAATAGTTGCCGTGGGATAGCACTTGTATTTGAACGTCCAATAGTTGCCTTGGGAAAGCACAAGTATTTGAACGTCCAATAGTTGCCGTAGAATAGCACTTGTATTTCAACGTCCAATAATGCCATGGGAGAGCACTAGTATTTGAACGTCCAATAGTTGCCATGGGATAGCACCAGTACTTGGACGGACGAACGATACCTTGGTGATATCAGGGTAAGATAACATCCTTGTTGCGTAAGTTCCCATCACCCGGTGTGAGTGATATGAGTTCACATTGTCTCAACAAGCCTTCTGTATATCACCTATGTGGTGACCAGTCTTTCTGGCATAGGAGTTTCAATTTCTCCAATAACACACAAAAGCAGAAAATGCCTCCTCACTTGACATACTGACTAGTGGACTGGATGACACCTCACTTTTCAAACTACTCTTCATAATAAAGCTTATAGATTCAAAGCTTTGTATTGACTACCAGAAGGCATAAGAGTTCTGATATCTCAAGTCAATTATCTTTTTCATAATCAAGTTATAATATAGTTGTTAAATGGATCATAAATTAACTTTAAAACAGATGGTATGTGTTCGTGAACTTCAAGATCTGAAGATGACAGTGGTAAGTAAAATACATCAAATATCTGACGTCCACATGCCAAACTGGGATACTACGAGTCATCATTCGGCTTTTACTGGAAGTACAGAAGTTTTTCACAATATATATACTTACGTTTGAGGCATATTGTACAACACCGTATCCATTGTAGAAGATTTAAATGATCATTTGTTATGATAACAGCTCTGTTCGAGGTTTTTAAATTTCTCCCTTTTCAAAACCAGTTGATGGCGTCTAGGATAGATATGGGCTTGTAAGTGGGATAGCCTGACATATGCGCGTATACCACTACATGTGTGTGACGTGGGTTGGAAGATGAAGCAAATCTGTTACCATTGACACGGCGGGGTCCCAGTTACAGTTCACCGGCTGTAGCTTTATAACGCTTCATTGATCTTCACAGGGTTATACATAGAATAGACATGTCTATGTTCAGTCAGAGATTTGAAGATTGTGTAAAACAAAATATGTTCAGTAATATCAGTGATTCAAAACGACTTACACACTATAAGATTATTAAGTCATTGTTGACTGTTGAATATTATGTTACAAATATCAATGTTATTTAATGATCTTGCCACTGGTAAATACGTTATACGACACCGTTTTTGGTTGGTTACCCAATCATGTTGGCATCATTGATAATGGCCTATGCTGCATGCTACTTATAAGCATGGGAACTATATATTTTATTGTCACTTTATCAAGTCTCTGTAACAATTTCATAATAACGCAAATTTAATAATACAATCTAAAGTTAAATGTTGTCATGTTGTCATATCCTAAAGAATTAAGTATTTTATTATCAATGACAATGTTAGAAATAATCTCCACAAACTTTATACCCCTCTCTATGTTAAATTTTGAAATAATTATCAACATTATATTTGAAATACTCTGGTATAACGATAAGAGTAATATAATATGTGCAACCAATTCAGGAAACACTGACGTACATCAAATCCACCATAACAATATCTTCTCCACTGATCCTCACATATAGTTAGTCTCTAAGTGTACAGGGCTCCACTGATCCTCAAAAAGTCTGCAAGTGTACAGGGTTCCCCTGATCCTCAAATAGTATGTAAGTGTACAGGGCGCAACTGATCCTTACATGGGTAGTCTGTAAGTGTACAGGGCTCCACTGATCCTTACATGGTTAGTCTGCAAGTGTACAGGGTTCCACTGATCCTCAAATAGTCTGTAAGTGTACAGGGCTCCACTGATCCTCAAATAGTCTGTAAGTGTACAGGGCTGCACTGATCCTTACATGGTTGGTCTGTAAGTGTACAGGGCTCCACTGACCCTCACATGGGTAGTCTGTAAGTGTACAGGGCTCCACTGATCCACACATGGTTGGTCTGTAAGTGTACAGGGCTCCACTGATCCTCACATGGTTGGTCTGTAAGTGTACAGGGCTACACTGATCCTCAAATGGGTAGTCTGTAGGTGTGCAGGGCTCCACTCATCCTAACATGGGCAGTCTGTAAGTGTACAGGGCTCCACTGATCCTCACATGGGCAGTCTGTAAGTGTACAGGGCTCCACTGATCATAACATGGGCAGTCTGTAAGTGTACATGGCTCCACTGATCCTCACATAGTTAGTCTGTAAGTGTACAGGGCTCCACTGATCCTCACATAGTTAGTCTGTAAGTGTACATGGCTCCACTGACCCTCACATAGTTAGTCTGTAAGTGTACAGGGCTCCACTGATCCTCACATAGTTAGTCTGTAAGTGTACAGGGCTCCACTGATCCTCACATGGGTAGTCTGTAAGTGTACAAGGCTCCACTGATCCTCACATGGGTAGTCTGTAAGTGTACAGGGCTCCACTGATCCCCACAGAGTTAGTCTGTAAGTGTACAGGGCTCCACTGATCCTCACATAGTTAGTCTGTAAGTGTACATGGCTCCACTGATCCTCACATGGTTAGCCTGTAAGTGTACAGGGCTCCACTGATCCTCACATGGGCAGTCTGTAAGTGTACAGGGCTTCACTGATCCTCACATGGTTGGTCTGTAAGTGTACAGGGCTCCACTGATCCTCACATGGGTAGTCTGTAAGTGTACAGGGCTCCACTGATCCTCACATGGGCAGTCTGTAAGTGTACAGGGCTTCACTGATCCTCACATGGTTGGTCTGTAAGTGTACAGAGATCCACTGATCCTCACATTGGCAGTCTGTAAGTGTACAGGGCTTCACTGATCCTCACATGGGTAGTCTGTAAGTGTACACGGCTCCACTGATCCTCACATAGTTAGTCTGTAAGTGTACAGGGCTCCACTGATCCTCACATGGGTAGTCTGTAAGTGTACAGGGCTCCACTGATCCTCACATGGGTAGTCTGTAAGTGTAAAGGGCTCCACTGATCCTCACATAGTTAGTCTGTAAGTGTACAGGGCTTCACTGATCCTCACATAGTTAGTCTGTAAGTGTACAGGGCTCCACTGATCCTCACATGGGTAGTCTGTAAGTGTACACGGCTCCACTGATCCTCACATAGTTGGTCTGTAAGTGTACAGGGCTCCACTGATCCTCACATGGGCAGTCTGTAAGTGTACAGGGCTCCACTGTTCCTCACATGGTTGGTCTGTAAGTGTACAGGGCTCCACTGATCCTCACATGGTTAGCCTGTAAGTGTACAGGGCTTCACTGATCCTCACATAGTTAGTCTGTAAGTGTACAGGGCTCCACTGATCCTAACATAGTCTGTAAGTGTACAGTTCTCCACTGATCCTCACATGGTTGGTCTGTAAGTGTAAAGGGCTCCACTGATCCTCACATGGGCAGTCTGTAAGTGTACAGGGCTCCACTGATCCTCACATGGGTAGTCTGTAAGTGTACAGGGCTTCACTGATCCTCACATGGGCAGTCTGTAAGTGTACAGGGCTCCACTGTTCCTCACATGGTTGGTCTGTAAGTGTACAGGGCTCCACTGATCCTCACATGGTTAGCCTGTAAGTGTACAGGGCTTCACTGATCCTCACATAGTTAGCCTGTAAGTGTACAGTTCTCCACTGATCCTCACATGGTTGGTCTGTAAGTGTACAGGGCTCCACTGATCCTCACATGGGTAGTCTGTAAGTGTACAGGGCTTCCCTGATCCTCACATGGTTAGCCTGTAAGTGTACAGGGCTCCACTGATCCTCACATGGGTAGCCTGTAAGTGTACAGGGCTCCACTGATCCTCACATGGTTAGCCTGTAAGTGTACAGGGCTCCACTGATCCTCACATGGTTGGTCTGTAAGTGTACAGGGCTCCACTGATCCTCACATAGTCTGTAAGTGTACAGGGCTGCACTGATCCTTACATGGTTGGTCTGTAAGTGTACAGGGCTCCACTGACCCTCACATGGGTAGTCTGTAAGTGTACAGGGCTCCACTGATCCTCACATGGTTGGTCTGTAAGTGTACAGGGCTCCACTGATCCTCAAATGGGTAGTCTGTAGGTGTGCAGGGCTCCACTCATCCTAACATGGGCAGTCTGTAAGTGTACAGGGCTCGACTGATCCTCACATGGGCAGTCTGTAAGTGTACAGGGCTCCACTGATCCTAACATGGGCAGTCTGTAAGTGTACATGGCTCCACTGATCCTCACATAGTTAGTCTGTAAGTGTACAGGGCTCCACTGATCCTCACATAGTTAGTCTGTAAGTGTACAGGGCTCCACTGACCCTCACATAGTTAGTCTGTAAGTGTACAGGGCTCCACTGATCCTCACATAGTTAGTCTGTAAGTGGACAGGGCTCCACTGATCCTCACATGGGTAGTCTGTAAGTGTACAAGGCTCCACTGATCCTCACATGGGTAGTCTGTAAGTGTACAGGGCTCCACTGATCCCCACATAGTTAGTCTGTAAGTGTACAGGGCTCCACTGATCCTCACATAGTTAGTCTGTAAGTGTACATGGCTCCACTGATCCTCACATGGGTAGTCTGTAAGTGTACACGGCTCCACTGATCCTCACATAGTTAGTCTGTAAGTGTACAGGGCTCCACTGATCCTCATATGGGTAGTCTGTAAGTGTACAGGGCTCCACTGATCCTCACATGGGTAGTCTGTAAGTGTACAGGGCTCCACTGATCCTCACATGGGTAGTCTGTAAGTGTACACGGCTCCACTGATCCTCACATAGTTAGTCTGTAAGTGTACAGGGCTTCACTGATCCTCACATAGTTAGTCTGTAAGTGTACAGGGCTCCACTGATCCTCACATGGGTAGTCTGTAAGTGTAAAGGGCTCCACTGATCCTCACATGGGTAGCCTGTAAGTGTACAGGTCTCCACTGATCCTCACATAGTTAGTCTGTAAGTGTACAGGGCTGCACTGATCCTCACATGGGTAGTCTGTTAGTGTACAGGGCTCCACTGATCCTCACATGGGTAGTCTCTTTGTGTACAGGGCTCCACTGATCCTCACATGGGTAGTCTGTAAGTGTACAGGGTTCCACTACTCCTCACATAGTTGGTCTGTAAGTGTACAGGTCTCCACTGATCCTCACATGGTTTCTACCTCTCGCATCGTTTGCTTAACACAAAATCAAATCTCGTGAGCACGACAGTTTAGGAACCGGATTTCGATTTTGGTGCGCGATTTTGATTTGGCTATGCATAGACTCGTTAGTCCAGCCAAAATGTAACTCCATAATACCAGCCTTGTTCGGCAAGGGTGGAAACTGGCGGTAGGCTCAGCGCTGTAGAACGGGTTGAGAACAAAATGTCATATGCGGAGGCTGTGGGTAAAGTTAGGATCAAGAGCCAAACATAGTCTGATACAGCGGTCACAAATCCGCAAGATCATTCTGGATCTTGAACAATCGGTCCCTAAAACTACCCCCAACGTATTCATGTCATTGCAAGCTCCACCAGTGCCCCTATTGTGGCGATGAACCTCGTGTGAAACAACCCAAATCCGTCGATTTCTCCTTCAAATGTTTAGTCATTCCTCTTTCAAGCCATTGCTGGTTGTTGCATTTCTATATCTAAGGAGGAACGTATCAACTGTCTTGTACAGATTAGCAGTATATTAGCCCTAAATGGTTTGATTTTTCGGGAGGTACTAGACTAGAAAGATTCATTTGGAATCAGAGAAAAACGAAGTGGGTGAAACTGGACTTTTATAGTCAGTTACCTCTCTTGCCTCGGGAAGATGGTAGATTGTGATTGATCCATTTAGAAGACACTTTTTTGTCATATATATTTGAAGCCGACCTCTCACTATGTATGAATAGAGCACCAGTATATCCTGTACAGGTTTGTCAATGCTACTAAATAAG